AGGGAATACAGCCTAAGAGATTTCACAGAGAATAGAAAAAAATATAATAAAAAGATAATAGGTTTTGACAATAGGATAATAATTATCGTGAACGACATTTCGCATCCGGTCTTTGTTGCCTGTATAAGTATTGATAATGGTAAAACTTTAAAACCCATCCTACAAATGTTATTGTATTTTTCCTATTCAAGTACGTCCCACACTTTTACATAAGCAGATCAAGCAGCAAACATAACTAAGGGTAACGGCTTGGGGATGTTCGGTTTAATTATTTTTCCACCTTTGTAACAGCTGTATGAATGAACCGGAAAAATAAATGGGAATTCACAAACAACAACAGAGAGGAATCAAAGACACAGTTAAAAACGTGAAGCTCATCGGTGAGCTACACAAGACTTAGAATAGGGCACACACGTCATATACAGAAGCATTTAATGACTGAGATATGATCACCGACCGATATGATGTATTCATTACGATGAGCTGATGTCGATGAGGCACATTTTGTACATCTATTTTTTCGGCCACTTAGTTACAAGATCAACACAAAAATATGCCTTTTCAATGATCGATCATGGTATTTGGATGACTTGTTTTGGTTCCTTAATACCTCCAAACTATTCTTAAAATTTAAAATATAAATGCAAAACTAATAAATGATGTCTGTAGGGTAACGAAAAAGTAGACGAGACGGATAATGCATTCCACCCTCCGGACCTAACCACCGCTATCCAGCCTTGTGACGCTAAAAATACAATAAAAATAGAAATCAAAGACTAAAAGGAAATGGAAGCGACGGTGAGCTGGATCGGCAGAGAAGCATTTACGTATCAAGAACTCACTTGATAGGTAGCCTTCGGATGATCTGACTAGAAGAGTATCATACCCGACTTAGAAGACTTAGAATAGGCCATGTGAGGTTGACACACAGACACTTACTTTTAGGCCAAAGCACGCGTATGTGTCTGGCATGTTTTACTCAATGTGTCCTTTATAGTGAATGGTGTTTCTTGGCTCCTTACAGAGAGCGTGTAGAAATTTGATGTTTAAAACTAAGTTAGCTAGTTTTCGTGGTCTGCTTGACCAATTAATATCATTCAATTAATTAAGGTTTTTTTTAGTTGAGATAAAAAAGTCAGTGTCTCGATCGGGATTCGAACCCACGACTTTCGGCTTGATACGCCGCTACTCTACCGCTTGAGCTATCGTGAACTGAAGTAGAGTAGTGGCATATCAAGCCGAAGGTCGTGGGTTCGAATCCCGCTCGTTACACTGACTTTTTTATCTCAACTAAACAAAAAAAACCTTAATTATTTAAAACTAAGTTTCGAAAAAAAAACAATGAAATGTGTGTAAAAATTGATATATTTTGCTTTCTTAAGTATGAGACACGATTTAGGAATATTTTTTTATTTTATACGGCTCGTAGGACACTGACCCAGGCCAGAACAATCCATAATAGGCTTTGTTCGTATCCGGAGGCTTTGGATTTCGGTAGATACGTTTTCCAAAAGTTAAAGCCATATAGTAAGTCTTGGTACATGACTGGATATTTGGTGTCTTGGCAGAACAACGGCTTGGATAGAATGGCCCAAACGTTACCAGCGCAAATCAACGGAGATCCTTCATTCCCTGCACAATACGAATGATAATAATAATTTGAGCATATCTTGCCGTTGGCATTAAAAGGGGAGTAAACTCTTGTGATACTACAACAGCTTTTCAACTCTTTTTCACAGATGTCGTGTGTCTTTAGTCGCACTTGAACCGATACCATCGATAAGCTCTTATAGACACTTTTTTCTGAGGAATTGCCTTCGAAAAATCCCACAACCGAGCAGTAGTCCTGATTATTAACCATGTTTGCAAATTGCTGATGCCTGCGAAAATTTTCATCCTGTTTCTTTTTCGAAGTGAACCAACGTAATTCGGAGGGAAACTCGTTGACCCACGAGTTAAAGATGAAATCTCTCTTAGTAATCAAGACGGCGAAGTCATGCAAGTAAAGGCCTACATCCAAGTTACAACTCGAATGGGTCAATATATTGGAAATCATTCTCACTTGGTAACCGTGCTCAAAAGGAAAGAGACGCACACTGCCGGATACAACTTTCATATTACTGATATCTCGTATCTTTTTAAATGGGTCTTTGGTACATCGGCAAGTTGTGAGCACCGCATTAGAGCTGATAATAACTCCTCCGCAAATAATTTCTTTCAGTAAGGTCTGAACCGACGCTATATACTTATAATCCCCTCTTCGGGCTTTAGTTGCTTCTTTATTTTTGATGTCCAAAGAGTATTCTGCTAAAACAGGTAGAATGCATAACAATAGAGAAAGATATCTACAATCTTTCAACAAAAACATTTTAACAAAACAAACAACAAATCGCATATGTTTATTATTTGAAACCAATTGACAAGAGATATTGGCAAATAATTTGACCATAGTGTAAAGCATCATAGTCCAGTCTAGTCACTGTTTTTTTGTCATTTTGCGTCATCCAGCACACTACATTAGTACAAGACTGATAAAAAGAAGGGTAGATTATTATCTCGTGACCCTTTTTTTGCTTTAGCAATTAGCGCAATGAAAACGTTTAACATCAAAATTTAATTAATCTTGTTACGTAAGGTTTTGGTCGAAATGAAAAAATCAGTGTCACGAGCGGGATACGAACCCACCTTCGGCTCGTGACACTGACTTTTTCATTTCGACCAAAACCTTACATAAAAAGATTAATTAATTGAAAGAAGTAATTTGGCCAATAAACCACTAAATATAATGGAGCAAAATTTAAGTTCATATTGAAATTCCTGATAGGTGCTTGAACTTTAAGATTTCCTTGTAAATTCCCGTATCTCTACTCTGTTGCAACTGTTTTCAATTAAAACTTATAGAATTAATTTCAATATTTTAGAAATCATATTTCCCTTTGTGTTTTGAAATGTGAATTATTATGGCTCAATTCATCGGGAGCACCACATAGCTCCCAGTTAGGATTGTCTCTTTTATTTATGCGCAAATAGGAGCCGCAGAATCCATGGCTGTTCCTCAATTGTCGATGGTTGAGCAATCCTTTTTGCTTATATTAAAAATCTTCAAACCACGAATATTTATTTACATAAGGTTTAATAGATAAATAAAACTACTGAACTACCCTGTACGAAAGAGGAAGATTGCCGTTCAGACCATACCAGGGAAATATGAAAAAGAAAATTTCGATTTTGCTCGATTTACGTCTTCTTTTCCTTCCGTTTTTAGTGTGTAGTTTGTGAACTATAAACAGCTGTTAAGCACACAAATTGCAAGAAGAGAAAATTCCTATTAAAATAAGGCTGACAGAATAGTGAATACTTTCGTTTTTCACACTCATGATTTGTAAAATATCGAGAAAAAGTAAATTTTGTTTTTAAACGTTTTTATTGCGTTGTGTAATTTTATAAACGAGAAAACTTTGTTTTTCCAAATACCTTTCCTCATCCGTCTTTCTATTTCGTATTTGTATTATTTTTTTATTATTATTTGGAGGTCGTGAGATGCGGTCTGGTGTGATGAAGGTTTTAGAAAAACATTTTCTTTATCGTGTTACGTTTCGATCTTTATTGAGATCATCTTCAGGGCTCAAAGTGTGCTGTACTCTCAACACGACACACAAGAATGACACAACTAATCAGAAAACAAACACTTTGAGCCCTGAAGATGATCTCAACAAAGATCGAAACGTTGGCGAGACAAAGAAAATATTTTTCTAAAACCTACGTCACACCAGGCCACATCTCATGACCTCCAAATAATCAAGTCACTAAACACTACACATTATTTTTTTTAATTTGTTTGTTTTATCTTTATAAAACATGATGTAGACTATAAAAAAATTTGATTGGTTTTGCCGCAGAGGGGCTACTGTATACATCATTCTGTACAAGTCCACTTAAAGAAGGATGCACCAGAACTATTTGTTCTAAAATGTATTTGCCTCTCCAAGTTATTGCATGCTTCACAAGTGTGTACAAAACTTCCCAGGACTCCTAAAACTTTCCTGCAAGAAATATTTTGATACATATTTTCTTCCAGCCTTTTCCCATAGACTTCCTTGTACTACACAGTTTTTCTTTGTTGTTAATAAAACCACCACTATGGTTTAATTTAAATTGAACAAAATTAAAATAAAATAAATCAAAGCAAAATTCTATTATATTTCACGGGTGTATTAATTATTTGACAAAATTCATATTACAAATAGCATTTATATAATATGAAATCAATTATAAAAACCAATTGGAGTTTGCTTTAAAAGTTGATCTAAATGCTCTTGGAAAAAATTTCTGTTTTAAAAGATAAGAATGCTTTGTTGACATATCTACTTCAAATATGGATAGCAATCCATTTTCTGAATTGTTATCAATCCAAATTTGGAATAATTAGTGTTAGAAATCCCTTTATGTTTGCACAAGGAAAAACATTCCCAGTTTCACCTAACTCATTAAAATATTTTCTATTAATATTACTAAATTAATTTCAATTTTGCTTGCTTTTAATTTTTTTTGTAAGTTTACCTTTGGCATGATTCTTTGTTTTATATTTTTGTTAAATTATTGATTTTCATTTACAATCCCAAGTAGTTGGGTCCATTATCAACACCCAATTACGTCTTGTGAAGCGCATTTTAATATGATTAAATATTTTAATGAGAATTAAATATTTAATCATGATCAATGAGGACGCATCACTTTAAAAAAAAAGATACTTGTCTAACTGCATTAGATGTTTAAGTGAACAAATTGGTTCTGATTTCAACTTTTAGCTGTGCTCTTGGATTTTTCTTACTTCTTACATCAATTTACTAACAGTAGTTAATATGGATTATTCAAGAAAGAAAATATTTTTAATCCACTATGAACTCATAAATATTTAATATATTTTTAATACAATTTGTACTCTCCTATGCACTCGTTTATTTTTGATTTTTTAATTTTCATTGTTGTAATTTTTTCAGACAACCGAAGATGAAGACTCCGACAGTTTTGCCCTAAGAGAATTCAGTTCTATTAGCACAACAAAACAGATTCTTTTCAAAGATGGGAAAAGCAAGGTTGATTTTGTCATCGTGTATGAAACAGTCAGTAACAACTCTTCGCAATCTGGACTCAATGATAAAAAATATTCCAAACATGAACAGTACAGAGAACGATTCATGGCGACTCTCCGGAATGCCGGCCTGGAGATGGAAGAAGTAAGTAAGAAACTTAAAAAGATTTTTAAATTTTTATTAAACATAATATTGCTTTCTTGTACACAGGAGATAGTATCAAGTTCGAATAGAAAATTAGTTTATTTTATTAAGATTCATGCCAAATGGCCTACACTGTGTCATTATGCAGAACAACTAAATATGAGAGCACCTCTTCAGGTAATTTAAATTTATAAATTATTGAACAATCATACACTTATAATCCTCCATTGTCAGTCATTCTGTAACACAATTTTTGTTTTGTTTTACTGTTAGAGTAGCACAATTTGTTTCTTGATTTAATCTTTACTGATTCTCCTTTTTTTTACACTTTCCTTTGACACCAAGATTAACCAAGAACAACACGAGGTAAGGAGTGCAGAACTGTCGGTGTTTTATTTCTTCAGGCTGTCATAACTTCCCCCCTGTTTTTTTTAAAGCACACAATGGTCAACCTAAACCTAATGCACATGGCATAAACCTGCTATAGTTGAGAAACGCTTTGTTTCGCTTTTAATGTTAATCCGCTTGAACTTGTAAAACTCCTGTCCTACAAGCCATTAAGCTTAAGTATGGCGCAAATCTTTAAAGGAACCACTTGTCTTCCATCGAAAAAATACAAATACAGATTTTATTTGAATAAACCATCTTACAAGATAGTAACAGTTTCTTAAGTGTTAGATTATATGCGTCAACCCTGAGTGTTATTAATGTAAAAATATTAAGAACTGTCCAACTGTAAATTAAAATTGAAGATTTTCCTGTTGGGGAATTTGAAACATAATAAATGAATGCAACACTCCAAGCTTTATTTATTCTCCCCTCTCTCACACACTCACCCTATCTTTTTCTCTCTTGTTATTTTCTGCTTCTTATAAAAATAAGAATTTCTTACAATTGAATAAATATTATAGTTATAAGACAATATTTCAAAATAGATGGTGTATTGTGATTATGCAAGAAAAAGAAATTAGTTGGCATTTATTCCTAACAATAATATATTAAAACAACAAACACCATCAAATCATGTCCAATCTAATATTAACAAAGAACAACCATTATTTCACTGGCAGGAATATTTTTGATATATTCAATTTAAATAATAATACTGCCAAGGGAAGTGAAATCTTATAGGAGTGACTTTTGAAGAATACAAGAAATGGTTTAAATATTATTAACACAATAATTACACATTAATCCATTAAAGAATTTGTTTTACCTGCCTAACCCTACTGTTATTATAACTTCATTATCGTTCTACTTATAATAAAAATATTTAAATTTTTTTTTTTTTTTGATAACTGAATATTTATAATTTGATTGTTAACTTCTATATTACAAGGAATTGAGTGTAATCACATTTTTAATTAAAATATAGAAATCTTCTTTTATCACTAATGACTGTGACTTGTGTGCACATGTATGACTAATTTCATTTTTGTTACATATCATGTCATCAATATTTTTAATGTCGCCAAGCATGTTTATTTTATTCATAGCTTCATAAAAATTGCTTTTTTCATGTTAACAACCCATTTTTATTTGTAATATTACAAATTCTTTTACTGTGTACACCAGGGATTTAAACTGATTATCAAGCACAAATTTTTTTTTTTTTTTGTCAAAACATACTTTCTTTGCTTTTATGTTATCAACAATGGTATTTTTTACAATACACACAGCATAATAAAACCTTTGCAATATACGTAAACATATAACAACTTTTTTTTGAGATATCATTAACAGCACCTAGTTGATCATTTTTCATATTATTTTCATTCTCATGAATTATTGAGAAAAAATAAACAGACCCAAATCCATACATAAATTGATAAGAAACGATACCCCAAATAGCCATAAATGTAAACATTAAAAATAAACTTTTATAAATAAATTTAAGAAAAGGTAATGCGATTTAAAAATAAAAAATTGTACAAAGCGATACAGTATTTGAAATCTTATATAGAGTGGTGCATTTTTCAATCCATATGAAAAACAGAGAACCACCTGCCTAAATGGTCTCTAGTTCAATTTTATAATTGAAAAGAATTTTTTGGTAAATATTGAAAGGATTTAGTTATAGAATTTTGCGATATAAAAGAAGTAAGTCAGTCTGTATTTAAATATTTTAAAAAAATTGTAAAATGTATGTATCCTTCTAAATTACACACCTAGTCATACTGATGCACAATTTTTGGTAGAAATTGTGACGTGAAGGTATTAAAAACCTTGTGCAATAAATAATTGTAAATAAAACATATCTTTGATGTCCAATCATAAATAATAATTTAAACACTAACCTTGCTAATTACAGCTAAGTGAGCTAGGAAATTTAATGCCATAAACCATATTCCAATGTTTTCTGCCTTTCTTTGAACACCTCATTTGACTACATTCATCTTAATAACATTAATCTTCTCTTCTTTTTTTTTAACTTTAGAAATGCTTTTATATTTTGTTTTTAATTTAGGAGAGAACATACATTTTCATATCTTATAGTGGATTTTGTGTCTTTATTTAAATATTGATTTATTCTAGCTTTTACATTGTCAAATTATAATTAAATTATTTCAGCATATAACAAAAGATTTGCTTTAATTAAAAATTTTTACCAGTGACCATTTTAGCAGGTGGAGCATTGTTTTTCTTATGATCCATCAAAAAATGCACCAACCTGTAACTTAAGAGAATATGCATATATTTTATACTCTATATTACTGTTTGGAGAGAAATGAGAAAAAATTGAATACTTTTCTCAATAAGTTTTATTTTGATCTGTTTTGTTGGTTTACAGTCAGACCCCTAGATATATTTCAGAAATTTGCTGAAATATTTGTTATCTTTATATGTTTAAGTGTACACGTATAATTTCTATTTTATTTTACGTCCATAATTATTTTGCGCTTTTTTTAAATTTCATTTTGATGCATTCCATTTGTTAACAAATCGCCTTTATACCAAAAGCAAATCTGCATTATGCTGGTTTTGTGAGATTAGTAATGTGTCTCATTGTGATAACTACGCCTGAAAAAACAATGGTACCAACAACAGGCTGGAGCTATTTAAAGCAAGCTTATGTGTTAGAAAGTGCAATAGAATTAGCATTAAAAAAATTATTCCAAATTGTTGAACTTGTCTTTGGTATTTCAGTTGTATCCGAGGCCGTCAATGAACTGGTCAGCAGATATTCTGCATAAAATAAGGCTTCCAAACATAATGGATCAGGATGTGCCTAATGAACCAAAACATTACTATACTTGTCCTTTCAGGAACTCAAAGATTGATAGGTAAGGCAACATTATTGATTTTAACACCATGATGTGTTATAATAACTTACACTTTCACAGGTTTTTAGGGCATGAAAATCATGAATCATTTTTTTCTGATACCCAGAGAAGTAGAATAGTCTATGAAATTCTATCAACTGCGGTGTTTGGGAAGAAAAAGAAAGGCGAGATTGGAATTGGAAGGCTAATTGAGGAAGGAGTCTTTTCCTCGGCTTTTCCCTTACATGATGTAAGCACATGTAAATTAAAATTTTAAGGCTTGATTTATTCTGCAACTATTAATCATGATAGTACAATTTATTGTAGCCCCATAAATATTTCTAATAAAAGCTCTTTTTATTGTTGATAAAAAATTTCTCATAAAAAAAACTATATTATATCCATTTTTAGAATTTGTTGAAAACGTGAGGAGCGGTCAAGAATGAGATAGTTTAGAAAAACACTTTTTTCATTCTTTTTTCATTTGTTTGCCAACATTTTGACCTTTATTTGGGTCATCTTCAGGGCCTGGGTAAATTATAAAGTATATGTTGATTAGAAAAATACAATTTAAGACATAAATATAAACTTTGAACCAAGTATTTCAAACTCACATAATATGTGGTGCTATTCTTGTGGTGTCATATTAGTTTTGTGTGAGTGTTGTAAATTCATGAATTTGTATGAAATACTTGGTTCAAATTTATATTTACAACTTAGATTGTTTTTTTTCGATCATAATATGTTTAATTTACCCAGGCCCTGAAGATGACCCGAATAAAGGTCGAAATGGCAAAAAAATGAAAAAGGTGTTTTTCTAAACTACCTCATTCTTGACCGCTCCTCACGACTTCAACAAATTGTGAAAAACAGGTCACTAAGAAACACATTTTTAGAATACTGAAATGTTTTTGGTTATATATCTTAGGGTTCATATGAAGTGAAAGGCAATATCCATAAAGATTTAATGAATCGGCGGCAGGTCCTGTATCAATATTGGGCAAGATGGGGTTGCTGGTACAAGTACCAGCCACTTGACCATATCAGAGAATATTTTGGTGAAAAAATCGCCATTTATTTTGCCTGGCTTGGTAAGTAAGTATATTGTTTTACTTCAGTAACACTCCTACCAGATTGGAATGTTAAAATTGAATAATTGACTTTTATTGCAGGTTTTTACACCGGATGGCTTCTTCCTGCAGCAATAGTTGGTGTCCTTGTATTTTTGTACGGCATCGCAACAATGCACTCAAATAAAATTGCCAAAGAGGTGTGTGAAAGCCATGGCTCTTTTCTCATGTGCCCTTTATGTGATGAAAATATAGGTTGCAAGTATTGGGATCTAAGCGATATATGCGGCTATGCAAAACTGGCCTACCTTTTTGACCATCCTCTTACAGTATTTTATGCAGTTTTTGTCTCATTCTGGGGTAAGGCTTTTTTCTCAAAAAAAACGTTAAAACCAATTTAATATTTATAAAATTTTAGCTGTAACATTTCTGGAGTACTGGAAGAGAAAATCAGCATCTCTAGCACATCACTGGGATTGCATGGGCTTCCAAGATGAAATTGAAAGGCCACGTCCAGAATTTGCAGCAAAAGCACCTTTCCAGGAAAGAAACCCAGTGACAGGCATTCAAGAGCCTTCGTTTCCAAAATCCCAGAGGCATAAGAGAGTTGCAGCAGGAATAGGAATTATTTTTATCATGGTTAGCTAGCATATTTTTCTTAATTTTAGCATTTATAGCTCACTGATAATACATCTTCCTTCTAGATTGCTTTGGTAATCATTTTTATAGTAGCTGTAATTATATACAGGGTACTTGTATCAATACCTCTTTTTCAAAATGCGACATTTCGCTCTCAAGCACAAGCAATAGCAAACATGTCTGGTGCAGTGGTTAACCTGTTTATAATTATGGGTATGAGCAGAGTGTATGAAAACTTGGCATACCGGCTAACATCTTGGGGTATAAACAAAATGATTCGTTTTTTTGTTTTTGCATTTATGTTTAAGAAATTAATATGATCTCTGTTTTCAGAAATGCACCGAACACAGACAGAATTCGACGATAACTTGACATTCAAAGTATTTCTTTTCCAGTTTGTTAATTTTTATTCTTCCATCTTTTACATAGCATTTTTCAAAGGGAGATTTGTCGGATATCCTGGAAACTACACGCTGATATTAAGGTTGAGAAATGAAGATGTAAGTAGTAAAAATACGATTAGAAATCAATTGAATATGAAAAAGTTTTATAATAACGTTCTAAATTTAGTGTAGTGCAGGTGGATGTCTAATTGAGTTATCCCAGCAGCTTGCAGTCATTATGATAGGCAAACAAATGATAAATAATGCTCAAGAAATATTACTTCCAAAGTTTAAAGCTTGGTGGCACAACAGAAAGGTTGGTTTCATTTTTTATGAACTTTTTAAATTATTTGCAATATTTTAAATATTTATGATACATTTAAATGTATGTTATAAAATTTTTTAGGTCAAATTAACAAAGAAAAAGAAAAGATTGAGGTGGGAGGAGGATTATCAGTTGGTTGACAATGAGGGGCTATTTGAGGAATACTTGGAAATGGGTAAAGTGAAGAAATAGTTGATTCTAAATAATTATAGTTCAGAACTATCCTAGTTATAGATTTACTTTATGAACTGTTCGCTTTTTACAGTATTGCAATTTGGATTCATCACTATATTTGTAGCTGCATTTCCTCTTGCCCCCTTATTTGCACTATTAAATAATTGGGTTGAAATTAGATTAGATGCTCAAAAGTTTGTTTGTGAAACAAGAAGAACAGTAGCTGAAAGGGCAGAAAATATTGGAATATGGTTTACGATATTAAATATGCTAGCTCACTTAGCTGTAATTAGCAATGTTAGTATTTAAATTATTATTTAGTTCTGCGATGATTGAACCTCGGAGATACGTTTTGTTTATAATTATGTATTGCACAGGGTTTTTTAATAGCCTTCACTTCAGAATTTCTTCCAAAAATTGTGTACCAGTATGACTACGACTGGAATTTAGAAGGATACATAAACTTTACATTGGCGTTTTCGCCAAATGGGACATTAAAGCAGAGATGTAGATACCGAGGTTTGAGAGACAATGAAGGAAATCTCACCCCCTTTTTCTGGCGATTATTAGCTGTTCAATTATCATTTGTGATTGTTTTTGAGGCAAGTAAATAGTTCAAATATTTTCCTAGATGCAAGAATTAATTTATTACGTACAAATTTCACAAAACATATTTCAATTTTTTGAAGAATGAAACTTGATTAAAGCTTTCATCTGTAAATAAAAAACACAATTATTATATTTGAAAATGGAAAAAGTGTAATTGTATTTTCATTTTGGTCTGCCTACCCTTGCTGGTTGGTCTATCAGTCTTATTAATTGTTAAATAAATTTTATTTTTTCAATTGCGTTTTACTAATTAAGAATATTTCCATTTAATTAAAATATATATTTTTTATTTATTTTTTTATTGTTTTAGCATGTTGTGTTTGGGATCTGCAGGCTTATTGATGTAATGGTTCCAGATATTCCAGAGAGCCTTGAGCTGAAAATAAAACGTGAACGGTTTTTAGCAAAACAGGCCCTACAGGATTCCGACACAATCATGAAGGTAATAAATTACAAAAAATTAAAATAAAAAACAAAATGAAAAATAAATTAATGATGTTATAGGTAGCAGCTGGGATAGAAGACATGGAGGAAAGGGAAAGATCTAGGAAAATGGTTCTAGACTTAACAGCTGAGCTCGGCAGTGACAATGATGCTCAACCGCAGCCTGGCTCATCCAATATTTCAGTCGTCAACCGCAGCGAACAGACGATAAATGAGAATTCTCAGTCACCAGAGCTGAACCCACCCAGAAAATCATACACAATGGTAGACTTCCAGTCTGAAATACCAAATAAAAAAGACAAGTATAAAAGACTGAGCTCATGACACAAACTTTCATTTTGAAACGTTTTAAAATATTTATTTTTTATATATTAAATTAAAAGATGAGATTTTTGAGGTTATGAAGTTTAACAGGTTAAAATTACGAATATAATGGTGCTAATAAAAGAGTCAGCCAATTTGTTTTTGTATACTAAATTAAAATGATAAAAAATGAAAATGATCATTTTTATTGTTAAATTAAATCATTGTGATATTTACGTACTAGGAGAACTTGCACAATAATTTATACTTAATTACAATTCATCATTCTTCAATTGTTCCCTTTTAAACTTTATTCTTAGCCTTAAAATAATAGCATCAGTTGTCTAATTAGCTATTTAGTGAATAATCATTATGCATGAAGAAATTAGCAATGATTAAAAATACTTAATACTTAATTCAGTTTTAATGTTTTCTTTTGGAAGTTTAACATATATGACATGTTTTAACATTGCTTATTCCAAAATTTGTTTTGAATGCATTTCACATTTCATCAGTGCATTACTCAGACTTGTTTATAAGAATAATTTTGCTGTTTTGCTTTGGTTGTTTAAAATAATTCATTTTTTCAACCCACCTTCTCTTGTTTTAATAATTATTTCTGTTGTTTTCCATCCCCAAATGACAAAACTACAAGTCATTACTCCATATTAAATAATAATCTACAGAAAAGATATAGCTTATAAATAATAGTAAATGGAAGTGTAGAAGTAAAAAAAAATAAATGAAAAAGTTCAAATGTTTCAATTTGTATTGGTATAAGATAAATGGTCTATAAGATAAATCTTTAAGGGATGTTTAACTTAATTCTAACATAATTACTAAACTAGTGTATGAATTTTTTCACTTTTCAAAAAATGATTTGATCGGTGTGTTTTAACTTCATAACTTCATAACATTAAGCATCCTTTTTCTAAAATCTAAACTCTACTTTTATAAGTTTAATTAAAATGTTTGTATACATGGGTCTTTTGTAGGCAGGTAATACTCAAATAAAGAGAGGCTCTATTTAGGATATGCCACATTAAATTATCGTTGTCTTCTTTTTTATCTGTCTTTAGTAATAAATGAAAACATATCTCCAATTCATTTACGTTCTTCCAAAGTTTGTTTTCTACATTTATATGAGTTGTTTGATAAGTCTTTATAACGCTTTATTTTTATGATAGAAAAATGTATTTGTTTAAAGTCCATTAATTTTCTATATATAACTTCAAATGATTGTAATAAAATTGTTGCTTTGCATGGAGAAACTGTGATATAAATATGATTCCAAAGTTAAATAGGCTAGGGTTGTTATGTTTATGTAAATACTGAATATTTAACATTGTAAATAAATATTAATTGTTAAGTTTAATATTTTCTTTTGTCCATATATTTTTATTACCTGTATACTCAATCACTGAAAGTAATTTTTCATTTTACATTATACATCAGAATGAGACAACACATGAGGACCCAATTATTTGCTGCCATGCTCTGGCACAAGCGGATGGCATTCCTACTTGCTCTCTTTATGGAACCAAGAAATTTTCAATTATCACCAAACACATGCACAGGCTTTGGCTGAAAAGTTTGAAACCATGGCCTATTCTTAATTTGGTCCCTCTTCTACGATTCAGATTCTCTGAGGGCCATCTATCAACTGTGTTTTTGATACATAAGAGCTTTTCTGCCCATCTGACCCATTGACACTACCATTTTCTTCTGAGCATATGCTTTAGTGCATTTTTAGCATCAGAAGGCCAGATCATTACTTTAATCCCTCCAGATTCAGGTTTCTGGACCAGATAACCATCCCTGTTTTATCAAGATGCTCCAATTGAGAGCTCTTCAGAGGATCTTTCCCTGGCAGCAATAACCATGCTCAGAGTGTTGGTACTCTACTGGTGGTCCTCACATTAACCCAAAACATTCAAAATTGCAAACAATTCCAAAGTGTAAACACAGTGCAGTGAGAGCCACCACAAGATGGCCTACACAGCAAGATCATCTCAGATGAGAGCTAGAAGGAGCAAAGTTGGCCAATTGCCAAGCTGGAGTACCTTTCCCAGTATGCTCCTGACCCTCCCTAAGGCTTCACCCAAGTATTTTCCCAGTGGTCGCATCCAGGTCTGAAGGGATTCACATAATCGGCAGTACTGGCAAAATAGATATCCCACCTGCATAGTCAAGGGATAGTTGTTCTCTCCCAAGTTCAATCAGCAGCACTCCCAGCTCGCAGCACAGGCTTGCTAAAGGGCTTGTTCTAAACACACGAGAGGCCGCTTGAAGGACACTTGAAGTAGAACCAGCACATTTTTGGAGTTTAAGAATAATCGATTAAACCCTGAAATTTGACCACAGCAGCAAGTGAAACATTTTCAGGAGGGTCTCCATGAGCACCCAAATTGACCATTGACTGACCTTTAATAATGCTATCACTTTTCTTCCCTTTGGCTCCTTCAGATAGAGGTTCAGAGAATGTGAGCCCTCCTCGGTCTACAAAAGTGGATGCATAGTTTTCAATGCAGAGATAAAAGAATAAATTTTTTATGTATGTATATTTAATCATATTGGCATCTACTCAATTAATTATACACAATTTTTTTTAAAATGAAAAATTTGTGTCAGGGGGGATTTGATATTGGCATCTATAAAAATTAGCATACATCACATTTTTTACAATAGTATAATTCATTGTTTAATTGCATAATTATAATTAGGTACTGTCTCACAGCTGTATATTTCACGGCTAAGTAACTTAACAAATTCTTCTCTCTAGGTGTGCGATTTGTCCCAACAATTGAATTAAATCTATTCAAAAGTTCTTTGATTTAAAAAGAAAAACCTACAATAAATTTGCCATCAGAACAAAGACAATGCTGACAGACCTCTAAAATTGCTTGATATTTTGTGAACTTATAAAAGAATATCATGATAATGCTTAACTGTTAAGTAAAGTTACATTTTTGTTCTATTGAATAAATAGTACAGTTTATCCAAAAAAAATAACTACTATTTTATTTAAAAAGTTATAATAAATCAGCTGTTATTTTTTAATCATTATAATAAAAAGGTGATACAAATAGAATACTAAAGCACTAAAGCAGTTCTTTTTTTGTTTGTGAAACAAAAAAAGTTTATTCAATGTTGTCTCTTTGACTAGAGAGTAGAGGCGACAGTCATGTTTAGAGATGGGCACAAAAAAATTGATTACATTATAGTATATGAGGAAACTCCAAAGGTCCAAGGATCAAAGAAGTCAACTAAGGCGGACAATAGGGAGGCTTTTCTATCGAAATTAGAAAATCTTGGGCTTTCCCTAGAAAAGGTATGAGCTGTCATCAACAGTAATTTACTTGCGGTGTATTTAATTGACATGTTTTAAATTAAAGGAAAGGGTTTCTGTCTCGGAGAAAACTATATGCTTTGTCAAAATTTTTGCAGAATGGAGCGTTCTCTGCCATGTTGCGGAATATCTCAGTATGAGAGCTCCACTTATGGTAATACTATTTCAAAATAATTTTAAAACTGTATATTCAAAATGTTATGTAATATTTTATTTTTGTAACATAGGTAAAGGATGATACTCCTCAGACATTCTTAGGAAAAGTTTTTTGCCATTGCTTTCGCAACAATGCACCAAATAAACCTGTTCAGTTTTACACTACTATATTTAGAGCTGAAAAAATAGACAGGTAAGTAATTATTGTAATTATTAGCTTTATAAAAAATGATATAGAACCATTTTTATAATTATGTTATCAAAACATGATTTTTAAATATGTTGAAAAATATTGCATTCAGAAGAAAACGAAATATTAGCTAAACTTTTATGAATTATAATGTTTATGAAATTATTTATATCCCACATTACATTCTTTTAGTAGAATGATAGTTTAGTCTTAGTGCATTTACTCAACAACATTTTTCTGTTGTTGTTTCAGTACTGCTCTTTGATTATTGTACATTTACAAGATTGAAAATAATATCTAGTCGCATTTATTAGGTACATCCAAAAACCCAAAGAAGAAATTAGTAGGTCTCTGAAAAATTAGGATGTTATGAAAACAATTTTTATAATTATTTTCATAAGACTGTTTCATCCTACTTTAAACTGCAGTGTCGGCTGAAAGACAACATTCAATGGTATTTACAAGCTGAGAAATTGCATTTAATGTATTTGAATGTTTACTGTGACACTGGAATAACTGAAAAACCACCAGAGCTTGACTGAATCCACATATTTGAGATCTTCGATTAGGTGTTGGGTAGTACTAAAATTTTAGTAATATTGAGCAACTATAGCTTTGGTAGTGGATGATCCTGTGACATTTGGAAATATTGGAGTTGGGAAGGTGGTAATCGGAACACACATTAGACTAAAGAGATTGAAAAGAAGACAAAGAAGCAGATTTAGGTCCGTAATGTTTAATATCACTTACTTCAACCCATACAAAACAAACAAAAAAACTTCTAATAAAAAAGGCATATGCCTAGTTGGTTTATCACTTTCAAGATCCTCCAACATCTTTAGCTATAATGGATCGGCTTTTCTTTGTTTCCGAGATGAACCAAAACTTTGGTTGGTTAGTTCTTGATATCTTCACTGTCACCACCAGATACTTCACTTTTCCTCTATTTTCATATGATTTTCTTGGTTCAAAATTCTCTTTTCCCAAGGTGCATTATTCAAAATCGACGCAGCCATTGGACTGTAGCTGACAAAAAGATTGTGTAGTATGAAAAGAACTATTAGTAGCAGTGCACTACTGCAATATCCATAACATCCAAGTATGGGAGACATCAGTCACAAGTCGACGCTGATAATAAACCTTTTCCATCCGGTGCAAAAGAGCCACATGCATTCAATGTTTAACTGACAACAACAATAAAATAACAACTTTTTATATATTTATGTTTTTTTAATACGTTTACTTGTATAATTTATACTATTTTTTTTATTTTTTCTGTCAGTGAGTATAGTGAGTATAAATAGTGAGATTTAGTTAAATTATTCAGAAAGTCATTGAACAGTTTCGTTGTAGGAGCTAATCTGTAAACATACTAAAGACTATTTGGAGATAGTGAGATGTGGTCTGGTGTGACGTAGGCTTTAGAAAAACATTTTCTTTATCGTGCTAACTTTTCGATCTACAAGGCTCACAGTGTTTGTTTTCCATATAGAAGTGTCATTCTTCTCTGTCGTGTTGAGAGTGCCCACTAAACATCACACAATACTAAAGACTATTTGATTAATAAATAACATTAATTGTTCAATTTTTAAAAATAATTTAATTCTTAATCTATGGCTGCTTTGATCAGACTATTTATTTTGTAAAACTAGTTAATATAGTACATAATTCCTTTTTTTCTTGGATTCCTTTGCTTTAATTTGCAGTTATTTAAAAATCACTAAGAACAGTTTTTTTTTTCTGTTGTCTAGTTGTATTGAAATTATTTTAAATTGAGTAAGTTTAATCAATTATATTTTTTCAGTTTTTTGGGAAGTGATAATCAAAATACATTTTTCAAAGAAACACAGCGGATAAGAGTTGTTGATGAAATCGTAAGAACTCTAATTTATGGGAACAAGAAAAAGTATGAAATCGGTCTTGACAGGTTGATAAAGGAAAAGGCTATTTCTGCTGGATATCCACCTCACGATGTATTTTTTTTAAACTTCCTAGTGGAAGATATTTTTTTCTTTTGTTTTTACTTGCTTTTAGGGGCCTTACCTAGCAGATCTTAAATCAGACCGCAGTATATGGAACAAAAGGCAAATTCTGTACTACTATTGGGCAAGGTGGAAATGCTTTTTCACACTTCAACCCACTGAACACATAAGAGAATATTTTGGAGAAAAAGTTACCCTTTATTTTGAATGGCTAGGTGAACATTTGAATAATCTTTTGAAACTATCTGATACAGTAATTTTGTATATTTAGGTATTTATATTAAAATTAGTTTTCTTTGAGATATAAACACAGTTTCTTGTGTCTGATTGGAGTGGTTTAATGAAATCATACAATTAAAATTAGAATTTTTTGTTGCCAAACAAGAAATAGAAAAATAATGATAATAATTAAAAATCTCAATCGTTTAAGACTTAAAATAGTTTTAATGATATGAATTATATAATTTGATTTACAGGATTTTATACAGTATGGCTAGTTCCTGCTTCGTTAGTTGGAATTTGTTCATTTATGTATGGATTTATCGCTTCCAAAAATAATAAAATAATACAAGAAGCATGTGACAGTACCTCATTTTTGATGTGTCCAGGGTGTGATGAAAATTCTGGCTGTAGCTACTGGGAACTGAGTTCCACATGTTTTTACACATATTTGTCTGTTTTCTTTGATAATCACGTAACAGTGATTTATTGCATTTTTATTTCTATATGGGGTTGGTCTCTAAATTTAATATTCTATTCATGTTTCATTCTTACTATATTACTTTTTTAGAGATAATTTATTTATTTCAGCAATCATTTTTCTTGAATTTTGGAAAAGAAAGTCTGCTAGTTTAGCACACGAGTGGAATTGTTTAGGATATGTGAGTGATGTTGAAATGCCTATGGCAAATTTTATAGTTAAGGCAATCGATGTTGAAAAAAACCCTGTTACTGGGGCCTGGCAACCAGCTTTTCCTAAATCTATATCCACTTTCAGAGTTGTAATAGGATTTGTACTACTTTATGTCATGGTAAACATTTATCGAGAAAAGAATCCTAATTTTAATTTTTTTTTATAATGTTTTAATTTTTAACAATAATTTTTAGATAATCATGATGATTATATTATTGATCGGAGTTGGGATCTTTTGTAATCTAATATCAAAATCATTAAGACATATTGGAGTAAATAATTCTCTAATACGCATGACATCAGCTCTCACGGAGCATTTTCTTGGTATTATTTGTATATTAGCGGCGGGTAAATTATATACCTGGATGGCATACCATCTGACTAAATGGGGTGGGTTTGTTTTAACAAATGTAAATTGTCTTGCAAGAGTTTAAAATTAATTATCTTCTAGAAATGCACAGGACACAAACCCAATTTGACAATCACTATATTTTCAAAGTATTTTTATTCCAGTGCATCAATTATTATTCACCTCTAATATACACAGGGTTTTTTAAAGGGAAGTTTGTTGGCTATCCTGGAAATTATTTAACAGTCGCAGGAATGAGGCTTGAGGAAGTTTGTTATATATGGAAATCTTATACAATATGTATAAATTAATATATCTTTCATTTATGTAATTTTTAAACTTTTAGTGCAGTAATGGTGGGTGCTTTGTTGACTTAACTATACAATTTGTGGTATTTGTAGTAGGAAAACAAATAATAACCAATGGTCTGGAAATATTAACTCCAGTAATAACAAAACCATGGACCAAATTACAGGTAGCTTGCCAGATTGAACATTACATTATAATACACAAATTATTTCACTTTTGATTGCTATTTCTAAAAATTAATTTCCTTTCAGGTGAGGTTTTCTGGAAACACTTGGGACCAAGATTTTCAGTTAGAAAACCATCCAAAGCTTTATGATGAATATTTTGAGATGGGTATGTTATCTGAAACTTTTTTTTAATAAATACAATTAGTGTTCAATATTAAAATAAATATTAATTTTGTGCTATTATTTTAGTAATGCAGTATGGATTTATCACAATATTTAGTGCCGCATTTCCCTTAATTCCAGCATTTGCGCTTTTGAACAATCTGTTTCAAATACGAATTAATGCACAAAAATTTTTATGCTATTCAAGAAGGCCCATTCCTCATTGGGCGGAATCATTAGGCATATGGGTTCACATCTTACAATTTCTTTCTTACGTTGCTGTTGTCAGCAATGTCTGTAGAAAGTATTTGTGTTAGAGTTCAAATTTCATGAAAGATTTTGTAAAACTTTTGCAGGCAGTGTTAATAGCATTTACATCAGACTTTATCCCACGATTAGTATATCAATATGACAATAGTGGGTGTTTAAAAGGATACGTAAATTTCACATTGGCTTATTCTCCAAAAGGCAGTTTAACAAAAGAATGCAGATATCAAGACTTTCGTGACAGAAATGGATTTAAAACCGTATTCTATTGGCGAATTTTGGCAATGAGATTTCTGTTCATAATTATTTTTGAGGTTTTTTCTTAATTATATTAAAAACTTCTTTGGATAATATATATTTTGATCATTTCTCTTTAAAGCATTTTGTATTTGGGATTTTATATCTAACAAAACGCTTAATACGAGACATTCCCAAGAAGGTTGAACTAAAAATGAAAAGGGAGCAATTCCTAGGAAAGCTAGCGTTGCAGAAAACTGGTGCAAAAGTTTTGAATGTAAGTAACTTAAAAATTTCTCAACCAATGAAAAAAGGAACTTATTAAATGAATTTTTCAGCAAACAGCTATGGGCAATGAACGTGAATCAGTTCCTTATGAAACATAAACATAATCAACCATGTTATAAAACGAAACAAATATTTTATAACATGCTGTAAACCATGTTTAAATAAAAACATACAATTGGAGGGCATTATATTAAATAAATATAAATAAATGAAAAAAATGCTTGTTTGTAGATATTTCTAAAAGTTGTGGTACACGTGATGTGATGAACTTAGCTTAATTATTTCCAACAAACCTTTGTCTATTCTGTTTTGCCTGTCAGATGTGTTTCTGCATTTCACCTTTTCGTTGTTATTTTATCAGAAATGTAAAAAAAGGATACAATTGGTATAATGAAACACAGTTCAACCTCTGAAGATGGTTTTGTATTGTAAATGTCAAACAAACAATTAAAAACCAAAAACAACAAAACCCTGGTGGAAGTTATAAATTAGAACTCTCTAAACAGTTATAAAAAATTAATTGGTGGCTATAATTGTGTTTATCATACAAAATTTTGTTATGTAAAAAATAATTATTAATTTAATTAACAATGTTACGTAAAAACCTCAACATCCAAGCTCCTACCTCTCATTAGTCTCCTTGTCTTAGGCAAAATCCTTGAAAAGCAGGCATTCCCCAGGGCAGCATACTAGGACCTTCTTATTTACCATACACTCAGCAGAGATTCCTATTCTCCCTAACATTACTATGGCATTCTGCTGATGTCACAGCCATCCTGTCACTTAATCCTGATCCTTACCTAGTCATGAATCCCAACTTCATTTAAACCTTATCCAGTCTTGGTCTTACAATTGGAGAATAAAAATTAATTAAACTAAATCTACCATCACCTTTACAGTACAAAAACTTGTCCTGCAGTATATTTTAATGAAAAATCCATACCAAGATTTTGTGCTCTGCCAGGGCCTATACATTGACAAAAGACTAACGTGGCATCCATGACCGAAAAGACATCAAAATAACCAATGATACAAATTATTCCATAGATTACTTGACGTTAAATTTAAGTTACACCTTACTAACAAACTCACCATTTACAAAACTCTCCTGAGACTGATATGGAATTTAAGTATGGGGATTAATGGAAAAATCCTACTCCTATAAAATCCAATCCATCCAATCAAAAATATTAATTAAATTATTAAACTGTCCCTTCTACATTTCAAAGCAAACAATCCACAATGACTTCCACAACCCATTTGAAATTGACATTATTAAAGCCTGAAACGAAACTTCCACAGAAATTTAGACCCTCTCCATAATCCCCCGTCCAACAGTTTTCTTGTCTCAACAATCCTGTAAATCCCACTTGTCGCTTGAAGTAATTATTCTCATGAGATCTCTTGAGAGATTGCCAAAAAGTGCCATTGCTGGGTAACTTATCATTATGTATATTGATATTATGCTAGATTTTTAAAACATAATAAAAAAAGGAATAATTATTTGCAAAAGAAAAATGGTATAAGTTTAGTGAGAAAAAGAAGAGGTAAAAATAAACTTCGTCAGTTTAAAGTTATTTTAAATTACTTATTAATCGAGAAGTGGTCACTATATGAATTTTCATTCATAAAAATTTAGTTTTGTATTTTCTTTAAACCTTTTCTTAATAATTGGTACCTGATTCTTACAAGAAACACAATCCATTTCTTGTGGACTTTTTTTTTAACAATATTAGTCAGAGAACGCGATGCTGATTAAATTGTATTTTTGGGGAAGGAAAGCATAAAAGAAAGTTACAGAGATGACAGAGGGAATAGAACCCCCTAACCATAATTAAATATATTTACAACTCATGAATATCAGATCTCATTTAATTTGGATTACATTAAAATAAGTATGTTATCTTAATAGAAAAACAAAAATTCATATAGTTTGAAATAAACACAAAATCCATTTTTCATGTAAGCAGTTTTGGGTTTGTATCCTGGCATTGCCTTTGAAAATTGTATTTAAAAATTAAAAATAAAACTATTGTAAAGTGATGTATATTATCCACATCATGACAAAACAAAATAAAAAGCCCTTCTGTAAAATTAACAGAGTTAAAAGAGAGACTCAAGAACATAGAAATAGTGAATGAGTAAATACTGATCCATATCTAATATTAATGAAAGTTGTTTGATTAAATATATTTTTGAGTTCTTTAAAAAAATGTGTGACTGATAAACAAAACACTGTTTTAAATTATTTTAAAAAAACAGTTGGAAATTATTACTGTAGACTAAATGTAATGCATAAAGAAAAAATTTATTAATCATTTTTAGGTGTTACTCGGAAAAAACCAACACTATTGTTAATACACTCCATCATTGAGTTAAAAAAGCGCAGTTATACAAAGTGAAGAATTCTCAACACAGTTTAGATTTACACGCTTTTTCTACATCATTTTTTCCACTTGATGTATTCATTTTTTGGATTTTCTTTGAGAAGATTTCCTTTGAGATGCTCTCCTGGCAGAAGCTCGTCTTTTAGAAGCTCTTCTTAACATTCCAACTGAAGAACACTTTTGCCGCAGTGTCATTCGCTTTTTGTTTTTCATAAATGGAAGCCCTAAGAAGAAGTATTCCCTAACTGAAGTATAGTTTCCTAGATACAGGTTTGCATGGACAATGTATACATTAGGGTCATCTTCTTCAGAATCTGAACCCTCTTCCATATGAAAAGAACTACTTTTCCAGTGTGATTTGCCTTGGCCCTTTCTAATTGGGCCTTTTATTGACTTTCTACTGGACTGTCTTCTAGACTGCCTTCTTGATTGCCGTCTTGATTGCCTTCTTGACTGTCTTCTTGCCGACTGCCTTCTAACAGATTGCCTCTTTATTGACCTAGATTGGCCAGTTACAGATTGTCTGTGGACAGATTTTGTAGAGAAAAGACTACATTTAGATCTCATGAGCACTTCAAGAGGCCAGGGTTTAAAATATACTTCAATAAAACCAGTTTCAAATGGAGGTATAATTATACGATCGGCAAATTTGAAGTAATGACTGTGTATCTCTTTAAGAGGCGTAAAAATTGGGGAATTGTAAGCATCTACTACTTCTTGTGGGAATTGATCTGAAAATGATGTATTTCTAATCAATTTTGCTTTATCTGGTACTCGGCCTGAATGGTCTTTCTTGACCGATTTCCTCCTCTCATCAGGTTTAATTTTGGCTTTACTCTCTGTTTTACTTTCTACTGCTTCTATTTTTGATTTCCTCTCTTTTGTCGACCTAACACTTTTGCAACTTACTACACTTTGTCGGCTTTGATTTCGATATGGATCATCAATCGCAAGTAATTCATCAACAGCACTTACAGCAGGCTGAAGCGCTGAACTTACTGCAGAATTAAGGCTCTGTTTGAAAGATACTGCTAGACTTGTGTGTACTTGACTATGCGGTGCCGGTGATAGTGAGGACATCTTTTGTTGTAAATTAAGACACAATCCTTCTTTCGCAAGAGACGGTTTTAAATAAAAGCTAAGTTCTGCTGCACATTGATTCTTTATCTAAAGAAAACAAATTGTCTTTAGTGAGGAGGAACCATGTCCATGTTTGTACTTAATATCTATCAACTTACAAGAAGTCCACATTTTGCTGTAAGTCCAAATCCTGTAGGCTTCATTTTAGCTAAGGCAAACTCTGGTGTAATTGTGTAAACTGGAATCACCCCTAAGCCTTGTATTTTTATTGGCACAAATGTTGTTTTGGTATAAAAGTCAATGAACTGTACGACCTAAATTATAAAAAAAGATATAAATAATGTAAGTTAATTTTGAACAGTACTGACATTTTTTAATCTTAAATGTCAAACATAATTGGATTTTCCCCCTTAAAAATCTAAAATGTCTAAACAGCCTTGGGCCATTAAGAATGGATTTATTTTGTGTTAAACACCATACATGTTGATGATAATTTGTCTGCATCTTCAATTTTTATAAAGAATTATAACAATTCCTACAATCTATTGTCTATGGAAATTTATTTCCTCATATGGAATTTTTAAATGTTATTGGAGATCATTTGTTTTGTTTGTTAATAAAACACGTTTAAAATTAAAATAACCCAAAATGAGCTCTTCGCGGGAAGGAATATCTCAAGATTTAGTGAGGGATCATATAAATACCCTGTAAGATTTTTGAATTTGTACTTTTCTCAGTTTTTATAAATTATTGTCTCTTTTATCTAACAGAATACAAGAACGCTCTTTTATAAACATTAATCGTGAAACAGCTTCCATCAAGAATTTAATATCCAAAAAAGAAAATCCTTCATACCCTGATATCACTAAAAGTACAGATCCTCCTGTGAACACTACCATTTCTGATAATTACTGTGATGAAAAAGACTCCAAATATCAGCACCTTTTGTCTGATTTTCCAAATCACTATTCAAGTGCTTATACTGACAAACTGAATGGTAACAATTCAAACTATCTAACTTTGATATATCTTATATAAATTGATTTTTAGAGGAAGAAGAAGAATCACACGATCCAGATGTGTTACGGCAGAAGTGGAATCAGGAAACAAAAGAAAAGAAGTGCAGGACTACAAAGGTAAAGCAGAACACAGAGAAAGTAAGAGCTTTCTTTGAAGATGACTGGAGACCGATATTTCCAAAGTGTAGTTCCATTGAATTAGGTCCACCTGGAGACACATCCCATAATTCTGATACAGATGAATAAAATGAATAAAAGTAAATATTCTTAGAAGTTATTCATGTGTCATCACTACTTTATATTTACCGTCAAAACATTTACCTATCCATATCATAAAAGCAATGAAATGAATCAAATCTATATGGCTTAATATCATTTCAGACTAGTTATTATAAATCCAACATATATTAAGCCTTATTAATCATAAATTATTTTAAAATGCAATATATTACTTTAAATATTTATGTTTAATATACTCACACAGTACCAGAATAATTAACTTACCTCGCCATCTTTTACTGGTTCAAACAAAATAGGGAATTTGATTATTTGTTCTGGCTCCATGAATATTCCTTTCCTAACTTTCACAAGTTTTTGATTTGCCTTTATTAACAAATGTTGTTAATTATTAAAATATTGGAAGACATGCGAAATAAAACAGTAAATTACCCGTATCATAGGTTGACCAGTGGGTACCCAAAAAACATCACTAGGGTTGAAAAGGCTATGTTGAAGCACGATATCCTTTCCTGAGGTGTTAAAAATGTCTATAGTTATCCGATGTTTGTCGCCAATAGCCGTCGGTGGAAACATAAAATTTTGAGGAGGAGCCATATTAGACATAATTATAAAATCTGGATTAGTGATTTTTCCAAGCACCAAAAGATTTAGTTCTTCATATCGTCTGTTATAAGAGAAATGTTTCGTTTAGCTTATTTCAGTTTATTATAATTAATTAAGGTTTTTAGTTGAGATAAAAAAGTCAATGGCACGAGCGGGATTCGAACCCACGATCTTTGGCTTGATACGCCGCTGCTCTACCACTTGAGCTATCGTGACCTCGATCCACTCGGACACCAACTTCCCATCTCAACCATACATTTGAATTTTCCCTCCTTTTTGCCATTTTTCAAATGTCATGTAATCGGATTGGATTCTCGACGACAAATGAAATGGCCACAGAGAGCTTTAATGAAGTATACTTCATTCCAAATTATTAAATTCACTAATTTCGTGGTCTGCTTGACCAATTAATATATTATAATTAATTAAGGTTTTTAGTTGAGATAAAAAAGTCAATGGCACGAGCGGGATTCGAACCCACGATCTTCGGCTTGATACGCTGCTGCTCTACCACTTAAGCTATCGTTACATCGATCCACTCGGACACCAACTTCCCATCTCAACCGCACCTTTGAATTTTCCCTCCTTTTTGCCATTTTTCAACCTTTTTTATCTCAACTAAAAACCTTAATTAATTATAATATATTAATTAGTCAAGCGTACCATGAAATTAGGGAATTTATTTCAATTTCTTAGTCAAGTATTTAGAAGAACTTAAATCATTTTTTATTCAATTTTAACGGTCATTACTAATCATCTAAAGACAAAAATGTATGAATGATTGAAACTCAACAATAATAGGCAAAAATCATAATCATACTGACTCCATGTGGTCTGTGGAGGTACCTTTAGTTTCGTATGTTTTGATCGTTTTGGTCTGCATATCTTCTCTAGTTTGGTCTATAAAATGTTTTGGAATTTCACCTTCAGCATTGGGTCTTGTACTAATGCATATCAGATACTGAAGATGTGAAATGTATACAATATTTTACAACCAAACCAGAGAGGATAAAATGATTGTGTGGAAATGATTACAAGATCACATTTTTGCTATACAGAATAGTATATGTTTATCATTTAAGAAAATATTATTAACCATAACAAATTTACTGTAATTATTGTCATGAATATGTGTAGATTAAATTGTAAAACAATTGAAATAATAAGGGATGCATACTTAAATTTCAAAATTTAAAAATAAATACAACTTACCGTGATGGAGGATCAGTGTCTACTTGGGATTCAATGAGACATTTAACATTGCATTTGAAGTTCTTTGGTTCATTCATCTTCACAAAATCCAAAAGTGCATAACTTATATCTTCTTTTTCAAGTATAACACTTTCAGGATCAACTTTAAATGATGGCGTTTCATTTAGCGTCATCCTTCTAGAGCCTTTTCTTTCTTCTCTTCCTTTAGTTTGCCCTTTTATAGATACTCTTTTGTCAGAACTCTTTTGTTTCACACTAGACCGTCTCATGGATTTTCTTTTAATAGAGCCCCTATTAGACTTTTTTGAAGTTTTGCTTGTGGCCGAATCATTTCTTTCCGTTTGTAAACTTTCTTTATGCTCTTCTTTATGTTTTGGTTTATTTGTAGTTGCCTTCATGCTCACTCTTTTTTGTTTTGATGAAGCCCTTCTAAGACTCTTGCGGTCACCGGGTTTTTTATTTTTTAGAGAACTTTTCCTGCTTTTCCTTCTAGAAGATTTTCTCCTTGAAGATTTTCTTCTTGATGACCCGAGCCTTTTAAACTTCTATAAGACAGAATAAATGTCAATAATTGAAAACTTTTTTTTTCTAAAGTTTCTGAATAGTAACACTTAATTATAATGGATTATATCTTTTTAGGCTTTCCATCTTGCCTAATTTATGAGATAATGGTGTTAGTTACTGAAGAATCCTAATTAAAATAACTTACTGTACTTGATTTAGATTTTAACCACTCTTCGAATAGTTCCTTTTCTAGTGCTCTCGCCTTTGTTTTTCTAGCAAAGCTCTCAATTTCATTAAATGGAGGTTCAGGCCTCATTATTAAGGAAATTTTGATTTCCTGATGTACAAAAACAAAAATTATTTTCAAAATTACTTTTATAAAGTTATATTAATCTTACTTCGTTTACTCCAATTGTTCCTTTACATGGTTCGACACTCAAAAATGGATGATTTGAAAAGAACTCAAAACGTGATTTCAAGTTGCACAATGGATGATGACTTGAACTTCTGCAGTAACAAATCGTCCCTGAAGATCGATTCGGACTTCTGTTCTATCAAGCAGCTCATAAATATTCAACGTATAAAATATATTTTAATTCAGAATACCTGAGATGTATTTTTGCAATGGAAAAAGAGTAATAAGGTGTTGGTTTTAAGACAACCTTCTGAGCAGAGAGTTCATAAAGTGTGTCAAAAACAACTGATTTTACGCCCAAAATTGTAAAAAATGTGTCTGTTGTAGTACAAAGCGGCGGTATGTTTGCTACCTTTTCTTCAGTTTGCACAGCATCTGCTGCCATGGTTACAGATTCTTCTAAGCTTTCGGTATCAGTTTGTTGTGCTATCGTCTGTGTGCCTTGGTTAAATGAAATCACCTCAGTTGTATCCTTTTAAAAATTGCATATTATGTAACAATTTTTTTTTTTTAAATTAAAGACATTACTGTGAGTTTTTGTTAGTTTACATCAAATATTATTATCTTAATTGATTTTTAAAATATTATTAGAGTATGCAAGTTTTTTGTTGTTTGACTATAAAGTTGTTTAGCACATTGCAAAAATCAGCAAATCAGATTTGAAGCTATTTTAAATATAAAATTTCAAATTTGAATTTTTTAAATTATATTTGTAGATGTGAGTAGGGCATTTGGTGGTGTGTTAAAAAGGAATGGAATTACAATTTTTTAATAATAACAATATTACCATCAATTCTTCATTTTTGGACCAATATAATTTGAAGTCTGAATTGTTTTGGTTCTCCTCTCTGTAGGTGTCTATGTTTGGAGCAATTGCAAATCGTTCGGCAGTTGTACATTTTAAAATAAAAGATCGAAAAACTGTACTTCCAGGTTCTTCCATTTGTTCAACCCCTGGTGAAAACAACAGCTCCAAGTCCAAAATTTCACCAGGTGCTATTACACCGAAACCATAATTTGGCTGGATCATGACCCACTAAAACAATCCACAAAATTTCAAATCATACTGATACAAAAATGTACAATTTATAAGATAAATAAATGACACCTTAGGTAGATTAATGAATCCATAATAAAGTGTAGCCAAGGTATTGTTTACTAAGTAAAATGGAGCAACTACTGTTTCATGTGTAAAGACTTTGTCAAATGAAATCATTTGAGGTTTAATCGAAAGGCCCATGCTTCTTGTCACTATTGCCATAACATGAATTTCAATCGGTGGTCCTGTCAATTCAGGCTCAGTAGATGTAATGAAGAGTGGAAAATCCAATACATTTGTATTACAGTCGAGAAATTTTTTAGCATCATGTACAAATGTAGATCTATCAAATGAAATGAAAATAAATTAAAATAATTTAAGTTAAGAAAGTAACAGTTAAAAAAGTATTTAAAAATCAGTCACTTTAAAGCAAGACGAACAAGAATCGGCATTGACTTCCCTTTAGGTATCACCGGAGAGCCAAACGGGATATGGACATGTTTCATTAATTCCTTTGGAATCTTTATATTTAGTGTCATTGCTTTTTTTCCAATATTTGTAATGACAAACTTGTTCTGCTGAACACCATCACTCAAAAGAACAACTTGAAAATCTAATACAGTCGGTTCAACAAGAAGAGGTGTAAATTGTATAAAAGCTTCTAACTTCAATATCTGAAACATAACAGAAATAAAAAATTGTTACCATCCCATTATTATTAATTATTATAATTTTTTGCAATACTTCTTCTTTCTGGAAGTTTTCTGTGAAAAATGTTAACGTCCATTCATCTTTCATTTCTCTAAAATTTTTGATGTTCATTTTTATAAAACCGATAGGTATGCTCATGCGGCACTGTTCATTTATAGTGATCACTTTTTCTTTGTATATTTTATCAAAATTTTGCACTGCAATTTCACTTTCTTCTTTGAGAGTTTGATAGTAGTTGTCCTGCTCTTCTTCACCCAAGCATTCTTCAGTCATTTCCTCTTTCTCTAAATCCATTTGGTTATCACAAATTATTTCATTATTGACAAGATTCCTTTTAACAATTTTAGGACATATGACGAATGGATATTTGAAATTTTCTTTGACTTCTTCTTCCTCTACAAATTCATCTTCACTCTGTGCAATTACTAAAATAATGAAATCACATTTTAGCAATAAAATATAAGTTAAATTCTGAGTTTCTCATTATCTACTCTTTATTTAGTTGTTTAGAAAAAATATAAAATAAACAAGTGAAATATAAAATTGTTAAATTTTCAAATATAAGCCAACCAAAATGTAGCATATTTAATTATTATGTCAACTGTGTAACTATCTTTACCAATAGGCTTTGGCGGAGTAAGAACAGATGTTATTGTCATATCACAATGTACTTTTCCTTTATTTGTAATAATAAGATTTCTAATAGGAATCTCATCAGTCCAATATTTTGTACATTTGAAGCTTCATTAAAAATTAATGTGTTAGAAAAACAAGTTTATTGAAAAGGAATCTATATAAGAAATATTCACCTTATTGAATTTGTATTGATAGAAATAATCGGTTCAACAGGAATACATTTTATTTGAAATGAAAACATTTTCCAATTTTGCTCTCCATATCTTGTGTAATATATGACATCACTTTCTAAATGTCTTGTAGATTTTTGGGGCCTGAATGTGACTTTTAACACTATTGGAACTGTAGGTTGTGCATAAAATATTGTCCATGGATCTACCTAAAACACAATTTTTGACTTAATCAAGGAAGGCCTATGAGTTTTTATAATAACTACCTCAATGAGCATTGGGTCAAATTGTTGTGTTTTGAATTTAATGTTTAATGGCTTGCAGTATCTTTTACATCCACCATTATTTATTATTTTCACAGTTTTTTGGTATATTTGGCCAGGGACAAATTCCTAGAAGAAATACTGTTATTAGTATTATGCCGCATGGTGTACTTTTTTTAATCATGTGACAGATTACATTGAAATACACTATAGCAGGGGTGATATTCATTGTTGGGTCCTGCGGTGGCTCTTGCTTTAAAAATTGATTGGCTGTTCGAAAAAATTTTCTTTCCATTCTCAATTCTTTCCATTTCTTGAAACATTCTAATAGTTCTGGATCTAATACAGAAATGGGTGGTGGTTCAACATAAGAAGCTGAACCCATCTGAAAAATAAATGTTATGAATATGTTTCTGAACATAGTATGTAGTGAGTCTACATTTCATTTACCAATGAAAACAATGAAATTTCACTTTGTGTTTTTTTTGGCATTGCATGAGCATTTTTCAGTTTACTATTTCTCTTTATACTATGTCTTTTCATGCTTTGTCTCTTTGTACTTTGTCTCTTACTACTTTGCCTCTTTGTACTTTGCCTTTTTGTACTTTGCCTCTTTGTGCTTTGTCTTTTTGTACTTTGTCTTTTCATACTCTTTCTTTTCATCGATTTCCTGCTAGACCTTCTTTTCATACCAACCATAAATTCCTCATTGTCAACTTCTTCCTCTTCATTTTTTTCGTCTGTCTCTCTGTCAATATCACTTGGCCTAAACGATGTAACTCGCCTTACACCACGTTTCTTTTTTTTACCAACTTCTGCTTCCGAATGGGGTGCTGTGTCAGGTTTTTCCTCCTCTTCTGGCAATTCATGACAAGATGCCTCTTCTACAATAGGCAATTCTTGTACAGGTGGCTCTGGTTCCACAACAGGTTTTGTCCTTGGTTTTGGCTTTGGCTTTGGCTTAGAAGGGGGTAGTGATGCAAGAAATCTTTCCATCCATTCAATATCCTGCTCGATTTGAATTTTTTTCAATCTTTTAAACTCTGCTTGTTGGTTTCTGCAAAATATGTAACACTTTTAATTATTTACATTTAATGTAGATAAATCCTTGACTAACACTTTATAATATATATGTATTACCTATATATTATTTAAAATATTAACAATGAATAATTATTTAACGTATTTACAAATGCATCTGGTATAAGTCATCTGCCATTCCCCTAAGTTCTTCAGGAGGGCAATTCAATTTAAGCGCCATACCCTCAATAAACTTTTTCTTTCTTATTTGTTCTGTTTTCTCCTTTTCATGCTTATGACATTTAAATTCGTTTCCAGTTTGTTCCATTACTCTCTAAAACATAAAGCACACTTGTTGTTCTCACCACACAATGATGATAGAGAAAGTGAGTGAGTAAGGGAAAGAGAAAGAGGTAAAAAGATAGATAGATAGATAGATAGATAGATAGATAGATAGATAGATAGATAGATAGATAGATAGATAGATAGATAGATAGATAGATAGATAGATAGATANAGAGAGAGAGAGAGAGAGAGAGAGAGAGAGAGAGAGAGTGAGAGAGAGAGAGTGAGAGAGAGAGAGAGAGAGAGAAAGTTAGGTTACCTTACAAGACAAGCATATATAAATAAATAGATGTTGACAGCTGGATGGATAGAGAATGAGAATAATAGAGGACAAATAAATAATAAAATAGAAGAAAAGGAAAGTGAATTTAGATAAAAAATAATCTTTTATGAAAAGTATACAGCCACAACTTGCAAACTCAAACATCATAGCAAAACAATAGAAAATACCCAGCGAAATTGACACAATCAATAAATACAGAAATATTTAATAATAAGTAAGTCATTTATGATCAATATAAATGAACCATAATAATAAATAATCAAAACACTCACCCAAAAATAAAAACAAAATTTGTATAAAACACAGTTTTTTCACTAGCCTTACACATTTTACAAGCAGGGACATCATTGGTCTTGGTGACTATATGTGCAAAACAGGGATTGGTTTTAATTTTTTAAAAACATGTTTTCCTGGTGAAATGTATGCTATAATCAAGCTCTAATTAAACATGAATTTTTTATATTGTTCAGAAATAGATAGTAAATATTTTGTATAATAATATTTTTTAAAGCAAAGAGAATTTTTTTAAATTAATGCATCATTACTTTTCTAATGAAACACATCAGATTTTCATATTAGCCACGTTTACAGTTCTTGGTTCGAATTTCACCATTGCCCTTGAATAATTAAATATACAATTCTGTGAGATTTTTTCATAATTCAACTATATCAAATTCATCACCTAACATTAAATAATACATTAACAAAATTTTGGCCTTGAAGAAAATACATTAGGAGATTTAAACAAATGGGTGATAGTAGACTAAATTGAATAAAATGCCAGAAAATGTTTTTTATTGCTTACTCCTTGTAGCAGATATCTCTATATTTACTTTGATTGGTAGTACTCAGTTTTTCATTTAATAAACATTTCTGTCATCAGTATGAACTACTTCTTCCCCTTCGGTTAAAACGCTTGTTTTTCATTTTACGTTTTTGGGTGGTTTGATTCATCACACTTTCAAAAATCAAATGTACCAATCCTACCATGCATACGTTTCAAAAATTTTTAATTAGCCAATCTCTAGAAAGTAGAACGTAACAGAGTTGTGAATTTTTAAAATTATTTGAAGATTTTCCAATGTTTCAAATTTTATAGGTTTATACCAGCGAAACGGCCATCAGTTTTTTTTACTAAATTTCCCTCCTATTTCCCAGTTGATTGCTGAAATATGGGACTCCATAAGAAAATTTTATGTACTCCACAGTTTTCTCCCTTACATGTGAATCTTTTATATATTTCTTTTTAATCTAGATAAATAAAATGTTATATTTATGGTACTCATACATATTTACAAGTTATATAAGCATATAGATATCCACCTGTTGATGTCAATTTTTTTTTTTGTATTGTACAAATTGTACTAGTTTAGTTTGTATCTAAGTATATGGTATCATTAAGTGTAATCGGGGTATAATAAATATTGGGTGGGTGAGTGTGTATGAGTATAAGTTTTTTTTTTTGGTTTCAGGGAAAAAGTCAAACTTTCAAAATATAAATGTATTTTATTTTTAATCGAAAAATAATTTCCTTTGTTTTCTATAAAACACATTTATATAACTTTCTGTTAGCATTTCTGGAGGGTTCTCCTTCAAAAATTACCCAATTTGTAAAGGGTTGTCTAGAGCAAAAAAGTAAAAATTGGAAAGGGGTAAGGTCTGGAGTATGTTGCACTTGTTGCCAGCCTTAACCCGGCGATTTTACTGTGAGAGTGCAGCTGTGTGGCACCTGGCATTGTCTTGGGTGAAACGCGACGTTGCATCTATTAACTGGGGATGTTTTTCCTTCAACGCTGACCCAAGACGTTCCAGCTGCGCACAGTGTACCTCTGCCCTACGGGTTTGATTGTGTAGTAACAGTTCCCAATAAATAAATTACAAACCAATCAAGCCAAGACTTTACGAGTGGACAATACTGGTCTTGACATCGACGATGGTGTTTCATCTTTATTTCAAACGATCCTTCCATGTTTAATATTTTAGTAAAAGATTCCCCAGTGGTCAAATAGGAAATAAATCCTTTGGGTTTATTATATTCAGATGTGTAATGCAACAGCTATGTGGTCTTCCTTGTTCCTGAGAGACAATTCATGGAGCACCCATGAATCGAACTGCTCAATGCAACCCAGAGATCAGATTCTTCTTTCTACTGTTGTGCGATACACCTGAAATCTCACCTTCAATACCACTAATAAGTTACAATTAATTAAGGTTTTCAGTTGAGATAAAAAAGTCAATGGCATGAACGGGATTCGAACCCACGATCTTCGGCTTGATACGCCGCTGCTCTACCACTTGAGCTATTGTGACCTCGATCCACTCGGACACCAACCTCCCATCTCAACCACACCTTTTGAATTTTCCCTCCTTTTTGCCATTTTTCAATTCGAATCCCGCTCGTGCCATTGACTTTTTTATCTCAACTGAAAACCTTAATTAATTGTAAGATATTAATTGGTCAAGCGGACCACAAAACTAGTGAATTTAACCATTAAAAAGTTGACGCTTTTAAGATTGTTAGGCATTCCACATCGATACTGGTCTTTGATTCGTCAGTCTCCATAATGAAAAGGTCGGACAACTTTCAATTACTACTATACGACAGTAAATTCGACATAAATGTTGATAGGCAACCGCTGCCCTATTTCTAGGATTCAGCCTCTTCCCAAGGCATGCTATGGCCTACCCCTAAGTGCAAGGTGTCTTCAGGAACATTTATGTTGCACAAACGCAATACTCTCTTCACTCAACAACAGTGAGATTCCATAGACACTTATTTCCATCCATCACTTATTTCCACATCCAAATTCATACGTGCAAACAGATTTTGGTACACATTATTAGGAGCTTTCATTTTCCCTTCTGACTTGATTATCAAGCTCATTGGTGGACTTCACCGTCTCTTTATTAATTCCTATTATTAATCTAATAACTTGTACCACGAAATCTCCTGCCTGTCCCCCTCGGCCAGAAATCGCGGTAATCTGCATAGGGCATGTTTTAAAATTTTTCTTTTACAGTCTAGATGTAAAATGTAATGAAATCCGCAGCCATACAGCAGTTTGATGTGGTCTCGATTTACAGCATATTTTTTCTTGAGGAGAGAAGAGTTTTTAATTAATATTTTTGTGCTTTCTCCATCTCTTAAACTACTAACTATGTAAATAAATTATACATATTATATATATTATATATATACAATATTAAACAATAGCTAGCCTAATGGAGAAAAACCGAATTCTCTATCTGAGCCCAATCATAACTTTCATGAACTTAGCGCAATATTGTTGCTTCTATGTCAGTTACATCCTCGTGTTTCATATGTTTTCTTGTCCAATACTAGCCTTTGTTTTTCTGGTGGCCAGCTTGGGTAAATTTTCTTTAGCAGTTCGCTGAGCGTCTTGTACTGGGTGTGGTGGAAAAGATGTCTTATCCCAATTCTCGTCACATCTTCGGCATACTGCATGGGTTGGACAGGCGAAATCTGTGCTAGATTAGTTGTTTCCATTGCCATTCAGGAACCGGAAAAGCCAACCGTGGATGACATACACAGTTATATTGTTGGGTATGCCATTTGTGCCACTGGTCCATCGAGTTTCATCACAGCCCTGTATTTATGATCTCTTTTTTTGTCTCCTTAGGGTCGTTATCAATACAAGGTACGATTTGTATTTATCTGATTGGTAGATCTTTTGTTTAAATTTGGGTCCGTCGTTTGATATTGATACGGTACGCTTTGGTCGACCTTAAACTTTGGGACTGAGCTAGAATATTTTTGCCTTTCGTATTTAGCCTGTCAAGAGTATGTGGCCACGGGAGGAACATGATTTCGTTTAGTGCTGTTCCATCCATGATCAACTTGCTTCAGATTGAACCTGCCCTAGGTCACATACTGGGTTCGTCTGCACTCGCGAGTTTTTATGTTACTCAACGTGTTTCTGCTTTGCACTATCTTTAGTGGGGAATAGTTCAACACGCGTTTGTGTGATTAAAAAAAAACAAAAAACGCTCACGTAGACCGACCCGACAGTGACCCAGTACCGGTTAACGTATCAAATTTTGTACCTGATTGCTAAAACTTATCTATCAATGTTGGGTAAAGCTGAGACGTTCCACGATCTCTGCTAATAATAAACTAATTTAACCCTTTTGTTCGTATTTATTATTTTGTTCTTGATTTTGACTTTCAAATTTTTTCTTCATTATAGCTTATACGAATAAAGTTTGGCGTTTGTTTAACGATAGCTTTAATTTCTTTCTACGATTCGGCAACTTCCTTCAACTATTTCCGTTTTAGCGTCTATTTTTTTTTCTCTCCTGTGACTGAACGATACAGGTCGTCCAAATTTTAGGTTTATGCATGCTAATTGCTACAGTTGGTTTTAAGATGTAACGAAATATTTATTATTTTCAAGTCAAAAAATATTTGAACTTTATCGAACATTTTAGCTAGCATTGCCCTTAACATCTGAAGTAAGAACCAACTGTTTTTCTTACAGATGAAAAATTCATTATTATTAACTGTCAAAATCCCTTGTTACTCAAACTTTTACACACATCATAACTAAAATGAGATTGAAGAATAAAAAATTGCCTGACGCCTTAAAACTTATAGAAGACATCAAGGTATTACTAAAACCTCTGGATATATCACATAAGCTAAAAGACTATGTCATTCTAAGAATGCTTTTCGAGTTGACCAACCTGATCAAAACATATAGTGAAATCGCGGCTTATTTCAGAAAAGAATTATGCCTTTTAAGACTAGCAATAAAAAATTTCGACCAAAACGGCGAAATGGGCATCAGAGTCGAGGCTGAAAATCTGAAGAACAGACTGGACAGAGTCATCTCATGGAAAATGGCCATTTTACGCAAAGGGCAGGAAGTTCTCGGAAGCCAAAGAAAACTCCTTTTATGCTGCATCGACGATGGTATTAGAATTGTCGTGACCGAAAAGCCCATTAACATTGTCTACAAGATGTCCGAAGCCAGGAATTTAAAAAACAAGATGGTGAACCTACTTAAGACGGCGGATCAGGTTTACAAACCTCAAGTCACTTCCATCGTCGATGGCATCGTGACCATTCTTTCTCTAGACGGTCTGTCTGCGCTAAAGTTGAACGAAGACCTACTGAATTTGGCAGCAATGATTAAAAACAAATCGGAACGCCAACACATAACTGCCCTAATGAATGGAATCTTGGAGAGCATACCGTTCCTGTACTCAGTAGCCGCCATTAAAAGAGTAAGTATGGCCCATCCCTCAAACTAAACCTACTAACTTTTACTTAATACCAACTTTTATTTCGACTAGGTTTTTAAACAAATCCGAAATTATTTTTAATAGGATAAAGTTTGAATAGTAATGTTTTATATATACTAAAAAATAAAATAATAAACATTAGCATAATTTTAATAACTAGTTTTAAACTCCTTTCCTTTAAAGAGCTTAAATGTTAGTCCTTGGAAATAAATAAAAGCTTGTGCCTGTGACTGTAAAAACTTTTTAATTCAAGGAAATCAATGATCAAAAGAAAGAAGTGCATAAATACCAAAAAGAGTATGCTTCACGTTTGCCTAAATAGACAGACTATTTTTTATTACTTTAAAATTACATATGACAAAATAGCCAACATATCAGATGTTTAAAAGGCCTATTTTTTCGATTTTTTCACGACAAATTTGTCTTTTAAATACATACCTGATCACAATCAAAAATTCACAGTCCTGAAAATGGTAAAATCCGGAATGTTAAGGATAAACAGTTCGAAGAAATCCCTCCTACACCACGGTGAAAAGCCCATTATAGCCCCAGACTCTTTGAAAATCGCCGCCCGGATCGAGAACGTAATAAAAAATGTTGATATGAATCCAAGGCTGAGGGATTACATATATCGCCTTATCAAAGATCTCCAAAATCTCATCATGACGCACCTCGAACTAGCGCCTTATTTTAGAAAAGAATTGACAGAGCTGAGACTGGCTCTGAAGCACTTGGAAGAAAGGGGAGAGGCCCAGCTACGGAAGAAAGCCGATCAGACCAAGCAGAGGCTGGACAATGTAAACGCGAGGAAAATGGTCCTTATCAAAAGGGAGAATGAGACTCAGGAGGAAAGGCAGAAAATGTTTTTCACCTGCATCGACGAAGGTATCAGGATGTCAGTGACGGAGCGCCAAGTCAATCTCGCAGCGCACATAAACGAGGCCAAAAATATAAAGAAGGAAATCCAGCTCATACAGAAAACCCTCCAGGGCTCAAATGTCACTCCCAAAACGAAAAAGGTCCTTTTGGAAGTGACAAACGAAATCTCGAGAATGTTCGCCATCGACGGTATCACGGCGATGAAGCTAAAAAATGACGTCCACGAAATCAAAGACATGGTGAGCAGGGGGAAACAAGCTGAAGCGGATTTAGAATCCAAGCTCAAGCTCCTCAAAGTCAAAGTGGAAAAGCTGAGCAAGGAGTCAGGGGCAAGAAGAGTAAGAAATATTGGCCATTAATTAAAACCTTGTAGTTGTATTAGACCCAAATTTAAGGGAGTCTTGGACTTTGTGCGATTTTAATTTATAAAACAATAGTCAACTGTAATGCACAGTTACAGTCTTTATGAATCGCCCTAGTCATCATTGTACTATAGACATCGTTATTTTTATGTTATAATTTAAATAATCTTCATTTTTGTACTTATAAAATTTGACCAATCTAAACTTCAATTTGTTTTTATTTTTCAGGACGATACAGAAAAGGCGCTAAACGATATTTATAGGACCATGCTTTATTTGGACAGGCAGGCAGATTTGTACAGTAAGCCGCATGCTTACCTGCCTCCTCCGAAAGGGGCGACGAATTAGGTTCTAGTCCTATAAATATAAAAATACCTTGATTTTCTTCAGTTCCTCCATTTTCTTCTTAGTGCTCTCTTGTATTGTCTGTGCCTTTAACCTACGTTCTCTAGCCAATTGGTGTCTGTAGTTAAGCTTCGAGCGTTTGGTTAAGACGAACGCGTCATCCGGTGGGAACTGGACTTCTTGTTTTGCCTTCCAAAAATAAACATAATTTATTAAAAAAATATCAATTTAATGCATTTTTCTTTGCTCCTGTGTGAAATTACATTAACCTTTAAGAGGTAATTAAACTAATTAACTATTTAACTCCCCCCTTAGTAAACAAGAGTGATTCGTAGGATCGTTTGAAAAAATATGTATCCTATTTATAAAAATAATGATTTAAAATAAATTTTAAAATTGATCTTAAGTATGTGTATATTAAATCCAAATAAAAATATCAATTTACATAGGACAAATGAGGCAGGAACTCATATGAACTCATTAATGTTTACGGATTATAATCATTTATTTGATTTTATATTAAGTTGCAGAAAGAATGTTCAAGAATTAAAGACTATTGCATTATAGCTTGTAATTTTTTTCACTGTCATAGCACTAACACTAATGCCTGGGGACGTCGGTGGCCGCAACGGTTTAGGCGTTCACACGGCGCTCATCACTAAGGTAAAGGTCCCGGGTTCGAATCTAGCGGCCCTTCATTGGATCCCGACATACTTACAAATGGGCTTTTTTTTTCAAAAACACCGGCATGCCGATGGGGATATAACATCTGCTGTTGCGAACCCTCTTTAAAAAAACACTAATGCCATCGCTGCATTCGCAGGACAGTTGCCAGGAGAAACCAGCTAATGCTGACACTCAGTGTGAGGGATTTAGAGGCAAGGAGATTTCGAGGTCATCTCGAATAAGGCGGTCTCAGGATAGGCATTAAGGTTAGGAAGAAACTTTGGAATCGGGAATGAATCTGTTCGTTGACAAAAGGAACGTTGAGGTTGTTGTGGATTGTGAGGTTAGTGAGGTAATAAGTAATTATGACAATTTGTAGATCTACTCTTATGTCCAAATTGGTCGCAATAAACAGTAAAAGGTTGGTTTAGTGCTGACGGTCAACACGGATTTCAGTCCTTGAAGTCTTCGTGGTCATCCAAGTCTTCTGTTAAGTTGTTTCTTAAGTCTAAGAATAAGATTCCACCTTAGTATGCTGTCTAAGTATAGTATGCTCTTGTTGACGTATAGTTACGTACTGAGTCTTCATTTAGTCTTGCCTTTCACTTTTTGCACCGGTCTTTGTGAGCTCAAGATGTTTCTGGATCTTGGAGGTAGCTTGGTTAGGATTAGAGTTAGAGGACAAAATTGCGGTACCCTCGCCTAGGTGGTAATGATGATTTTAGGGTCTGCAGGTGGATCAGCACCCTAAAATGGATGATATAAAGATGGGACCAAGAATGTTGCCTTGTGGGTCGCCGGCTTGTATCGGTCTGATTTCCGAGAACTAGTTGCCACAGCTCACCCTGAAGCAGCTGTCGGTTAGGTAGGATTTCAGGATAAGATAATAAGGAGTGGGTAGGAAGCGTTTTATCTTGGTGCCAGGCCCTATCAAAAGCCTTTGCTAATCTAGGACCGTACAAGATGTATTAAAAAATATCAAAAGTTTGTTTTTGACAATATTTATTAATAAAAAAGTCTTTTTCAGTCAATCGACTAGAACTTAGAGAATAGAAGGAAATCATAGATAGTGAGATTTTTATTATGAGAGGTTTAGATGCTCCCAACTCACAAGGGAAGGCTATGAATGAGGGATGGCTGGTTTCATCGTAAGATTTTTTTTTTTTTGAGGGGGTCACTCTCAACACGACTGCAACACTTATGCAGAAAACAAACACTTAGAGCCCTAAAGATGATCTCAATAAAGATCGAAACGTTGGCATTATAAAGAAAATGTTTTTCTGAAACCTACATCACACCAGACCGCATCTCACGATTTCTGAATAATTAGTAACACTTTTTGTTCGCTTAAAAATTTATAATTCCACTGGATTTTGAATAACATTATCACAATCCATATATGTATTTAGTGGTCATAATTGACCGTATTATTTTAATTAATTATACTATTTATCTAAGATCGCTGAATCTTTTGCTGAAATTATAGCCTTTCACGATAACCGAATCTTCGACGAAAGATGATGTATTACGGAGATTTGGAGTGCATTTAGTTTTTGTAAACTAAAGTGTTTACCCCCAGTTCATGTATGTATTTATGCAAAATGGATTGTTAAACGTATCAGTCGACAGGTTAAATTATATAGCAAACGTTCAAGAGAAACGAAGATCAGGGAGATTTAGTATCTCACAGTAATAGCAACACCGACAAAATGTTAATGTATTAATAGGTAAAGATATGAAAATAACACTGCTTTTATGAATTGCCTATGAAGCTAATGGTATTTGTCATATGCTATATCTAAAAAATTATTGTATTTTTTTCCTAATTACATAATGCTAGTGCATCTTACCGCTGGAACTGATGGTTCCTTCTGTACTTGTGTTTCGTCCGTTGTTTTTAAATACTCATTGATCGGTTCCATCTCCGCTTTTTCCATTGCAATTCTCAATTCAAATTCTGAAAGAGTTTCTATGAGCGGACCAGGCCTGGGATGAAAGAAGAACATTATTATAATCATTACATTAGAAAATTTATAACTTTATATAGGTCCTAATTACTTTTTTTTCTGCAAATAGTTCTTGAACTGTTCTTCGGCGGAGGCTGCGGAATTTGTCTTGTACGCCATCCTCTTCAGCGTGTGCCAAATCGACTTTTCCTCTTTCCACAAACGCCGGATCCCTTCGGCTTTTTGATTCTCCCCCTTGGCCGTGTCCTGATTGCAGGAAGTCAAGGTCCATCTTTCTCCCTCTGGAAAGAATTGGATTATGTCTGTTATATACTTAACAGAACATTCCCAGAAACAGCTTAGTCTATTTTTGTAAATATTTATAACCAAGCCTATATTTATTTTATTCGGAATTTCATAATTTTCCTATAAAATAAATGGTATTAGATATCTTATAGAAGTCCTTTGTGATGTTTTAATTTTTCAAAGAAAAATACCTCAATTTATTAAATATTGAGTACACATGACTTAGTCGGTAATTTTTAAAGAAAACAATACGTTTTAACAAAAACAAATCTGTAATTGAAGCTTGTTTAGAATCAATTGTCGAATTAAGTGTTTTGAAGAATCTTTGGAAATGTGGTCGGCATTTTACAATTTTTGTCGAGGGTCCGTCGGTTCTCGCTTTATCCAGGGACTCAGAGATGGCGCGTAGTGGCATTGTGTAGTCTTTGGAAGATCTCGAACAAAAGGCAGATTATGTTCTTAAACGTTAGTAATTGAACGGCGAATCTATTTTGTTTGCGTCTATTGAAGAGATGGAAGAAGAGACACCTTCGATTAAAAAACCACCACGAATATAATCGTCGAGTGCTTTGGAAATCAAAAAAGGCAGGTTTTGATTTTGCCTCACACCGGACGAGATAATTTTTCGTATGTATGTATGTGAAAATGCACGTTTATCTCACAGCTGTGTCTTTTTACAAAAATAAACTACAGATCTATCTTGAAAATTTCCAGTAAAAAAACAACGTAAAACGGTTTAGACTTGTTTAATTACTAAAAATTACTTTCAACCAGTATACACAAAACTGAAATTTACAAAAGAATTTTTTTTTCACTGAATACTCGGGCCTAAAATACGAAGATATAGTATCACCATAGAAAGGGCTATGTTTCAAGCGGATAAAAACAACTTTTGAAAAGTGAAAAGAAATGATAAATGGGTAAGTAACTTGGTTTTATAGGCGTGCAAGACTTGTAAGATCACCGTTATTTCTTGTTCCAGCGCTTGAAACTTGGACGCCTTTTAACTACTAAAATAATACAGATGCAGTAAAATAAATTGGCTCACCGATATTTTTCCTCTTCGATGGATGCATTTTCTTCCGGAGTTAGCCTAAAAGATTTTAACAACACTAATTATAATGTCAACTGATTGTAATAACTCGTTTGTTTTCTACCAGCGACTGAAGAAATTTGGAGATTATAAAGTAAGTTGTATTTTTGTTAACAGTGCTACTTTTTTATATATAAATATATATACACATGACGTTCTCACTCCACTGGAATCACGCCTGATATCGCGAGTGTCGAGTGTCTTTGACCTTTTTTGACATTTGTACGTTTTCGATCGCGTATAGTCCGGTTTCCTTAGTAAACAAACATTTCTCATTATGTACATATGTAATCATTCGAGAGCAGACGTTTAGTGGTGTATGTTTTAAAAAAGTCAAAAGATACTTTAGTTAAGAAATGAAAGGACAAGAGACAAACTACGATTTGATAATACAACAGTTCATAGTGTACCCAGTAAGTATTCAATTTATAATTCAATTAAAGCTAAATTTACAATCCTTAAAATTCAAAGAATATATTATAAACAAAACACATTTATCATTTAAAATTTAAGTTGGAACATGTCTTACACGAGATTCTGTGGTGTTCTTTTGACCAAGAAGAACCACGAAATTCTTCAAATTTCAAGAGAAAATTTCAAAAGTTCTGTACAATTTACTTATAATTACTATTTATGTTTTGATTACATTTAGTGTCCTAAAATTTACTAATAAACAATTACGAATGCATAAATTATTATGTTTCGATTATTAATGAATAAAATAAAACGAAATTAACGTATTAATTAAATTTACAATACAATTTTTTTTCTAAATCGTGACAGAATCGTAAAAAAAGAAATGAATAAAATGTAAATAAAAACACGGTCTCATTCATATTTCTCTTAAGAAATGGCACATTGAGTATTGAACGTTCTCAACACGCCACTCAACAGTGACACGTCTATACAGAAAATACACACTTTTAGCCCTGAAGATGATCTCAATAAAGATCGAAACGTTGGCACGATAAAGAAAATGTTCTTCTATACTTACGACACACCAGACCGCACCTCACGATCTCTAAATAATCATTACATTACACAATTTAAAAGACTTATTCATATAAAGGAAAATTTTATAAAGGCTTTCTTTTATTGTACAATTAATCGTTGTATTAGTAAGGTTCAGTTTGTTGATTGCTTTTGGGTCCGTCTAGGCTCGCAAGTTTATGATTTTACTTACATAAACTGCAGTTCGAATGACGTTTATCAAAACGCCCGATTCTCAGTGGATTCAAACACAATTATGTCGAGTTTATGGAGTTTTTAGAGAGGAGTTCTTGTTTGTACTGATTTGTGTCATTAAATAAATTACTTGCTTTTTTATGGTTTTTAAAATAGAATAAATAGAAAGCTACATGTGTTTTGGAACTGGAAGTCACTGAAGTCAGTAATACTGCTTTAAAAATTAACATAAATCTCTCGAATTATCTGAATCACTGCGTTTTAAAATATATAGGATTTTTATGTAGTACAAATATGAGTTGAATACAAGAAAAGCCCATTTTGCAGGAAAACGAAGAACTTCCGAATTAGTAACGAGGGGTTGAAAATATCTCAAAGATGCAGTCCACACATGCCAAGATCATGAACAATCGCAAGGTCATCTCGAACGAAGACGAGTTCGCTACATACGGTGAGCACGTTGCCAACCAGTTGAGAAAGCTCAAAAAAGACAAGAGGTCCCTTTGCGTTGCAATGTTCGAGATAGACAAAATACTCTACGAAACCGTTATGAAGGATTGCGCCAAAAAAGTGGAAAAAATAGAAATTTGATACAAATTCACCGAAAATAACAAGTCACTGTATTAGTTCTTTGTTGTAGAATGTATTCAAAAATAGTAAAATATTAAAAACAAAATTTAAAAAAAAGACGGTGGATGAACAGTTTCGTTTCAATTTGAAAATTAATTTTTTACATTAGTACTTTTAAAAAAATCGTAAAAATTTTAACTTTGACACGAATATAAACCACATAGTTATGGTATACGCCAATAACAAACAAAATATATTTTTTCTGTTTAAAAAGAAAACTAGTTATGACTGAACCTGTCATTTTTCTTTCAAGTTGGAGCAAATTATGTAATTAACATTTTTTTTTGTTTATATAATTTCCCAATCGATATCGATTTTCTCAAAGCAATACCAGCGTTTATAAATTCCAATTCAAAATTTGTACCCGTACATCAAGAAGATTATTTCAGGGAGAAAAACAAGACTGACGGGGTTCCGAAGTAAAAACCCTTGCAACAAATTTGAAAAACAAAGCGATTAATTTCGCCAATATACGAGTTGGGTTAGAAGATTTAAATCATGTTGAAAACTCTTGAGCTGTTGAAAAACACATAAATAACGGATAACAACCCTTAAAAACAGTGGATTTAATAAAAACTATTTTTTTAGACAAACCAGTTTTCTATTCAATGTCTTTTAAGACGATTATTAAATAATCATAATTAAAATAAAGTTGTTACACTACTTTCAATAGGAAGTTTGATAAAGTGCAAGTTTTCTTTTAAAAGAATAAAATCACGATCGTCATAGTCGAACAATTTATAAATTTAAATTAATACTAAAAAGAAATTTGTGTAAATAGAATCTTTATCCTTAAAACGTACGTTTTCAAGAGGAAAACATTTTCAGGGAAATCAAGACCGTACAGGCAGCTGGATTTAAAGAAAAACAAAATATTCAATTGAGATGGAAAAAACGAAAGACGAATACGACATATACGGAGAGCACATCGCGATTCAAATGAGGAAGCTGGCGGACAGGCGGGCTACCGCAATCGCCAGGTTCAAAATCGACCAGATCCTTTTCCATGCCATGATGGACGAGTACATTAACAAAGGGGAGGAGAGTAAAAACAACGAAGCACGAGAAAGAAGGAAAAAGGTGGAGCCTGCGGAGCATAAGTGATGTTGCAAGACGTGTTGAAAACCAGCCCAAAACAAACATTATGACAATGCTGTTTTTATTAAAATAAAACATCTCAAAACTAAATTAAACAGAGATAATAAACTTTAGACTTCATTATGTCCATGAATTTATACAACGCAGTATTTAAAAAATTTCTTATGTTATATTTTTAAAAGTTCAATTGCAACGACATTTATTTAATATGTATAAATTGGCGGATGTGATTGTTTTCTGTCGCTTTTCTAAGTATGAAGTTGTTTCAGAGGAGTGCAGTTTTCAATCTGACCAGTCAAAAACATTCAAATATCGATTATTAACGTGATAATATTCCAATCGAAAATATGAAAAATGTCGATTTTTTCTTACAGTAGGTCGGGTTTTTTGATCCCCCCTTGTTAGGTAGTGTATGTCCGACAGTGATAAAGCATCTTACAAGAAAAAACTAAGAATACTAGGCGGATCAAAAATAATAAAGATTAAAAATCTATCGATTTTATATTATCGTTTTCCTTTACCGGCTGTAAAGATAAAACAGCTTAAACCAGAGCAAGAAATAATATTTATTAAATGATCGTCATCTTTAATTTCATAAGATAAAAAATACGAAATTGCCTACATGAGGAAAATATTTTCAGGGTAATGAACGCGCAAATATCAGGATTAGAAAATGGACGATCGGCAGTTGGAACGGCCTGGCAGCCGGAAACTGCAGAAACTGGAAGAGATCCTGACCATTATGAAAGAGCTCCAAGAAATTCTCACAGTGGAAAAGGACGAGTTCGATATTTACGGAGAGCACGTTGCCGCCCAGCTAAGGAGCATTTCAGATAAAAAAGCCGTCGCCTTGGCCAGACGTAAAATTGACGATGTCCTGTTCGCCGCTGTGATGGGAGAATACAACTGGAAAAACATAGGGGGAAAATAAACTGTTCCTCAGTCTCGTCCGTTCGAGAATGAACTATCGCCCTGTCATACCGTTGTTTTCGCCATTAACTATAAATATAATTATTTGAACCAACCTTGTTTCTATCTATTATGTTTTAAAGAATGCTCTGAAGAAGAATTTATTGTATAAGCTATTGCTACATTTTATTTACAACAACGCTTAAAAGTTAAAAAGTCCGACACTAAATGTGTAATACTAAACAAAATCTCTAAATTTACATTCTTCAAACTTAATGAACCAGGCTTTTCATTCGGCTACTTAGAGATTAAGCTGATACTTTAAGATCTAGGTTAGTTTTACCTTTATATAACCTAAGAGTACAAGAAACCCCATATTTTCAGGATACATCAAAGGCAGGAATGGCATTATTGATATAAACTAAAGAAGAATGTCACCGAAAAAAAGCGAACTGGAGGAGACGGATGCCGAAAAGGTGCCACTCCGGCAGGTCAGAAGGACGTTGGCCGTCCACATGGATAAGGAAAAGGAAAGGTACTTTGAGTGGTGCAAAGGTAAGCAGAAAGACGATTGCTCTGAATGCGAGGGTTATAAAACGTCTAAGAAACATAATAAATATTGGGATTCGAAAAGCAAGGAAAAGCAAGAAAAAAAAGACAACTGCGCGTGCAGGGGTGTCCACAACGGGGGCCACAGGAGGCACCTCCGTCTCTCGTCTCCTGACATGGATCACAAGTTTGGCAAAAACGACATCGATCGGATAGTCGAAAACGCTGTCATCGAGTGGGATTACTTCAAGAACAAAAAGAAATCCATGCTCGACACGTTGGGAACACACAAGGAAAAGGCGCACAAGACTGAAAGTAAACCTAAGACGTCCAACGAAAAAACACAAATAAGAGAGCCGACTGGGAAATATTTAGAGAAAAGTACAAAATCGAACAGAAAGCTAAGCAGGGACGAAAATGACATTTACGGTGAGCATATAGCCATGCAACTCAGGAAGTTGAAGAATCCTAAGACTGTTGCCTTAGCCCGACTAAAAATAGACAAAGTGATTTACAACGCTTCCATCGGTAACAGGAAATGGACACACAAACAATTAGAAAAAATTATTGAATATCGGAAACGAAATAGTCCTCCCAACAAAATGACCGAATCGAGCCATACAGTGGCAAAAAGTATTAAAAAATAGTTTTTTAATCCCTTATTCTACACCATACGTTTTACATGTTTTATCATTGTTTAACTAATAAAACTCTAATCAACCATATATTTGTTACTTGGTAAAACCGTTTTTATTCGAACAATTCGACCTCGGAGGAAATCGTTTGAGCGTTGAATAAACGGGCTTGCCAGTATGCCGGCAGTATGCCCAGGTGTGCCATGAAATCGCGCTTTATGGAAAAACGTCCCCTTCTTAAAGGCATGGCATCCGAAATACACATGGCCACTGAATTGTACAAAAATAACAAATTAAAAAACGTATATATACTGAAACAACAAAACGCTAACAATGCTCCGGGCATAAATTTATTTATTAAATTCTAACAAGATGACAAAAATATTATTTTGCAATTGAACGGCTCATCCGAACCTAATCATATTCAAGCATGTTCATATAATAAAGTCCTAATCCACCCAACACCAATAAGATAGCTATAGCCGCCGTACCATATAAAATCTTTTGTTCTCTTGTCATACCAGTAGCACGACCGTTCTTCTTTTTTGATGAAGTAGAAGGCTTGTTACGATCTTGACTTTTTCCCAATTCTTTGCTTTTATCATACGCATTATTATTAGATCGTCCCAAAACGTCAAAGAAGGAAGACTTAGAGGGTTCTGATTTCGCACTGGTACTGGATTTAGCTTCCATATCAGCTTTTCTTAACGAAGTCGAACTAACTGGTTTCCCATCCTTGCAAACTATCTTACTTTTTTTATCTTGTTGGCCTGCGTTTTCTCTGCTGGCATAGGTTTTTGGCGAACGATCCCCATTAGGTTTCGGCCCTAGACCTTTGTCCTTACAAACAGGTTTACCCCGGGCGTCAGTTCCCCCTCGAGACTTCGGAGGTTCATTCTTGTCTCTGCCAATCGACTTATTACTCTGCTCTTCGATTTGCGCACGTGAATCAATTTCTTCTTTTGGTTTCTGTGCTTGACTCTTGTCTTTACAAATAATCTTTTTTCGCTTTTGATCTAGTTGAGATGTAGCATCACCAATGAATTGTGACGTTCGCTCGATTTCTCCTTTATGCCTCGGGGGTTCATTATTTTCCTTGTAATTATGTATTTCATCTGCTTGTGAAGGCGTTTGTCCTATTAACTGAGAATTTATTTCTCCCTTAGGTCGTTCACTCTTGTCCTTACAAACTGACTTGTCTTTGTGGTGTGGTTGAGCGCCGGTTTGCTCTGCTAATTTCGATTGAGGAATTAGCTCTCTTGGCATACTCATTTCCCTACTAGCTGACCTACTACGTACTCGATCAGCCTGATTTTTAGTTAATTCTGTGGACTTTAAACTTGACTCGGATTGCAGTGCATTCTTGTCTTTGGAAAATGGCGGCTTACAGTCTGATTGAGGTTTCGCCACCTCTTCTCTAAGCTCACTCTGGTCCGTATAAAACTTCCTTCCTTGGGGACAATTGATTGCTTCTGCTTCTACGGTTTCATTCGCAGCCTTATCAGCGGCCATTTTCATCATACAAGCTTCCAAATATTCCAATGCCGGCTCTTCGGGAATGCAGCGAGCCTTATTAAAATCTTGGATTTCTGTTACTTCGTAAATGTTATCTGAGTCTATTGTTTCCAATCCTTGTATTTCCCTCGGCTCTTGATAAAAAACTTTTTCCTTGTTTATAGCTTGGGAACTGGTCGCTCCGGTCATAGAAGAAACGGAGACACGGTCACTCTTGTTCTGACAGATCACTTTAATACTTTGTCTGTCGGCCGGGTTAAACATTTTTCCTGAAGTTGCAATCAATTGCGAGTGATCGCTTTTTCCGCCTAACAAATATTTTTTTTCTGCCTGTTTAGAATCGTTAGTGATCAATTGGGGACCGTCACAATCGTTCATCATGTTCGCCCGGATGGTTGAATTCGGGATCGAGCATGTTTGAGAACGAGCCTTATCCTTTGGGATTGTTATTTTCTGGTAATCGTTATTCGCCTGAGTAGTAATCCTTTGTTCACTCAGATTTTTTCGTGTTGAGCTCTTGCTAAATTGTGAACCAGTTGAAGCTTTAAAACCATTTCTAGGTGATTTTGCTCTTTGGGCTTTAGGGTCAAACTTAGGCCTACCCGTAACGGTAGGCTTATCGCATCTTTCATCATATGTTCCTTTACCATGCATTTCTACGTTAGACAGACTGGTTATATTTCTCGATGATTTTGTCACCATTTGCTGAGAACTCGGTTCGAAGTCCGATATTTTAAGGATCTGTTGAGAGTCATCGATAGGTGGGCAGGCTGGCTTTTTGCCGGCCATCGGTGATAAGCCGGATATCTTTTTTCCGGACATCGATGATAAGCCGGTTTGCTTTTTGCCAGCCATCGATGTCGCAATGGTTTTCTTCTTTTGCTTTTTTTTCGCCATCGATGCATTTGGTGGTGTGCTGTAAATTTTCGTCTGCCCTGACGCAACAGCTTTCATCGGACCAGTCATGTATTGATTGCGGCACTCGTCTTGCATGTTTTCGTATTTTGGCGCTACGACTACTTGTTGCGATGTCGAAGGAGCGTTATAGCCGAGCGACGAAGAGCTGGGATAGTCATTTAACCTATTATTTTTTCTTTTCGACCCTTTGGAAAGTGCTAACTTTTTTTTGTTCGCCATGGCTTTGACGTTAAACGTCGGACGACTGGAAGATTTAGCATCGTGTTTTCCTTTCTGCGTTGTGTTAATGTTATGAGACGTAGCAGACCTGTCGGTTTCGTTGCACACGACAGGATTTATTCCTCGCGCTTTTCCACTGTAGCCTTTCATTTTCGGTTCCTATGATGTCACCTTTTATTCTCACGAACGAGTCATTTTTGTTAGAATTTTAACTATGCCTGGAAGTTTTTTTGTGTTTTTAATGTTGAATCCTTGAAACTTGACTGAAATGTTTTCCAAATGTCATCTGTTTAAAATGTCTATTGACAAAAAATAAATTCTTCCTCCTTCATAAAGAAGTCCGATGTTGTTCTTTCTCCTTCCGCCCATCGGTGTGCTTCGAAAATTTTCTTCGGACGGATACGACCGTGTCGGAGTCTCCGAAACAATTATCGACAATTTGTAACCCATATGATTGCTCTTGAAAAGATAAAAATGTTTATGCTTGCCAATGCCACGAATTGGCAAAACGTCTTCACTCATAAAGGCAATACGCATAAAGGTGAAGGGAGTATAACAAAACACTCTATAAAAGATGTAAGAGGGAAGATTGTAATTAGAGTCGTAGTGAAGGGACTACACCGTTAGAATGTATTGTGCCTTGGCTATCACGGTAGCCAGGTAATTACCAGTACTGAGAGGCCAGTCCCACGAATACAATGACATCCACTCCGTTCATGTCACCTCACATACGCCTCACTCGTTGTCCTCTCCGATAGTTTCATTACTCCTTTCATTTCCCTTCTCTCCTTGTAAACCAAATATTTTCAACTATAATGTCACTGAATGCGTTAGATCTATTGGGTTGTCCGGAAAATAATGCAGGATTTTGGTATTAAACAAAAAAAAAGAAACTAGTTACTTTAAAGCAATGTTCTTTAATCAAAATAATTTCCCATNTGACATTCATACAAATGAGTAATCCTGTAAACGTAAACAGAATATTTTATATAGATTTTTTTTAATGAAAACTTAAAATCCTGCATTATTTTCCGGACAACCCGATATATGCCTAGTTCGAAGATGAATAGCGGAAATAGATAAATTAAATACATTATGAACAAAAATCACCCGGTAACGCACGATAATGTATTGCTCAGTGGCGTGGAAACAACGAATTTATCAGGGTTCTCGTCAATATCAGCTTGTCTGTCGGATTATTTAATGTCAACATTCGTTATTTCGATCGGCCAAAAGCCTCTTTCATGAGCATGACTGGCACAAAAATGGTTTTCTTTACATAACATGTTTAGATTAAATAATAACTGACAGCTGGAAAAAAACCGCACGACAAAAGGACCGTTGACGACACATTGTATCGCCCAAAATACATAAACATTAAAATGCTAAAAATATATATCAAATTAATTTTTTTTTCAAGGAAGAGAAAAATCATGACAAAAATTCAACATGTACTGTAACTTCGTAAGAACACAAATTTTGTAAATAGAATAATAAAAAGTACCTTTTGCCTTATATATTGTCTATACACAAGCGAAAAGCTTGAGCTTCATTTTGACTTGAACCCAAATCCGGATCTAATTAGACGTTAGATTACTAAAATAAAATATAAAAGTGCCATAAACATACACTTATAATAGTGACTTTATAGTCAATAATTAACAAAATTAGTGTTTATTATTTATTGATAGTGTACAAATCCATACACAGCACTGCAACTAGCACTCCACCCTGAGAACACATTCTCAGAAATCAGCCAAACCTAGTGCACAATATGAGGGAATCACAATCGTCGGGAAGTCGAGAATGTGTCGGGTTCACGGGATGGGAAGATGTACAGACAGCTTGAGTAGTAGGATAGTAGGATTAGGAAGGATCAAAAGTCTGGTGTGGAACTTTTGGAAGCGGAATCATATCAGCTCATTGAAAAAAGGAATGTTGTGGTCGGTATGGATAGTGAAGTTAGTGACGTTGCAAAGAGTTTTGACAATTTGTTTGAATACTATTAATTGGAAGGTAGGATGCGGTGGATATTGGATATCTTAGCTGAACACCACAGTTTCACTACGTATGTCCAAAGTAGTCGCAATAATGGCTATGTCTGATATTCCGGTCTAGCACGGGCATGCTCTATAGATGCGCGGTAAAATATAAATATAAATTTAAAAGAGGTTCGACGAACATCTTTTACATATATATANCTGGAAAAAGATTTCTTGATGATGACCGATCGGGTTTTGAGCGGGCCCGTGCCATTTTTTATTTTTATATTATTTTCCTATTTGTATTTAAATATTACATTGTGCATTCAGTTTTTTACAACTATCAGATTCAAATTACATTTACATTTGACGTTGCCGATCTTGATTATTTGTATATAATTAGACATTGTTTTAATATTGATTGTTTCATTTTGTTACTTATGTTACAATGACATA